AATGATGGGACTGGCTGGTTTGACATTCCATAGATCTGTTGCTAAAACCTACGAGCTAAGCATGAATTTTGGGAAGAATAACTCGGAGATATGATGCCGCTGGCTAGTTTGACATTCCAATATAAGGTAGATGGGATTTTTCACAGCTTCATGAGCTTTGCCTCTTAATTATGCTGCAAAATCACTGGAGGACATTTTAATGCCCATGCTCATACATATGCTTATAATCATTCCCTGATTTTTAGTTATATATAAGACTAAATCTACCTATCTTGAGAGGGAGGTTGATGACATAATATGCCTTACTCCCTTTTTGCCCTTTCCATTTATAGACTGAATAGCCAAGTCTCTGCACCTCCAAATCTGAAGCCATGGTTCAGCTTAATTCATGATGGAGATGAGAGAAAGCTGAAAGACTTGTTGTAGGCTTCTCATGCTGTTTTTGTGATTGTTTCCCCCTGTTAATAGGAAACCGAGTCTTATATGAAGTTAGAAAAACTGAATTCAAAAAAAGGCTCTCTGGGGGATTTACTTGGCATAGAAAAAATGGCATAGTTATATGTACAATAATTGTCAGTGTTGTGGTGGTGTTACTTGGCATAGGATGAACCTATTTAATCAATTTACAATGAGATAAAAGAAACTTATCGTGTCTGAGGAAGTAGATATATTGTCAGTCGAACTTCTGGTTGCATTGTATAACCATTCATTCTAGTAAAAGGATTAGAAAAATTCATGAATGCCTCACATGTATAAATACCTCTGATACGTTAGTTTTTCAGTGGCACTTTGCTTTCAAGGTAAATATGACAAGTACGTACCCAAATATTTTGTTAGACTGTCATGTGTCACTAAATAGTTTTCTGAACTGTTCTTTGAGGTGCTTCAGTTTGTTACTTCATGTCTGAGGTTGTCTGTGTATGCAACCCATGATTCCCTTAGGAATGCCAAGGTGAGTCTTTATGAGGATACATGAAGTTGTGATATCTGTGGGATTGACATTATTACACGGAAAGGTGATACAGTCAGGTTGTCCCAAGTTTTCATGTAGCAAACGTGCATCCAACTCTTCTTCCTTATATTGGTCTTTTGCCCTATAGAGATACTGGCATCTCTGTGCTACCAAGTTTCGAGGATCTAGAGTCCATTGTTTCCGGGATTTGTGATCCATGCAGACATTTATGGTCCTTAAATGAACACTTAAAGTGCTAAATTCTTGTCTGACAATGGTTTAAGATAACCAATATCATTGTTCAAATGTGTGATTGCTGCTCCCACCTGACTCAAAGACATATCACAGTACTTTCATCATAGATCTAGTCTGTCTTGTAACAAAAAGAAATTAAAAAGATCTAGTCTCTAATTCCATTTCTGTTTCATATACTTATTGATTTTCTTTGGGTGCAGACCTACCTGCAGTCTCTTACTGTTAGGCTTGAGGAATGGAGACTTAAACGAAGAGACACAGAGGAATGGATGAGGCATCGCCAGCTTCCCGAAGATTTAAAACAACGTGTACGTCGTTTTGGCCAATACAAGTGGCTTGCTACTAAAGGAGTTGATGAAGAATCCATCCTCCGTGGCCTACCAGCTGACCTCCGTCGTGATATTCAGCGCCACTTGTGCTTAGACCTTGTTCGACGTGTATGGTCTTTTTACATCAGATCCTATCTTCAAGCAATTGTTCAATTTAATTGCTTTCAGTTTAGTGGTTTAATGTGTTTTCATTGCATTCTACACTTAATACTGTAAAATGGAGCCGAGCACATCAGCCAACGCTTTCCATGCACTTGCACAATGGTAAAGAATGTTCTCGCTCGTTGCTACCAAGGACGGGCTTCCTGAAACTTTACCCTACTTTTATGCAATCCATGTTTTCTGGTATTCTTTTCAGCATCCTTATAAATTTCATGTATTTGGTCGACATTTGGCTTATGTTCACAAAGTGGTCATTAGCTAGAGACTCCACTCCATATGGAGTAGGACACTGGAATGCACATTTGTGTGGCTTGTTGTATTCTAAGATCCTAATTTGACATTTTCATCTTTTGTGATCTGCATGCCATGCACGTATGAAGAAATGGAAAAATTTAAGGCTGTGTTAAGTTGGTCATCTAAGAGGCAAGTACTGGCTCAGTGGTATGGCCTCTCAGTTCCCCAAGCTTTTTGCTGGCTTTGAGTCCCATGTTGTCCTGTCCCCAATCCATTTCTTTGTTTACCTAGCAAAAGTGGTGAAAACCAAAATGCCAGTACTTTGGCCTCTCAGATGTAGTGTCGTTGTTAGTTGAGCTAGCGCATAGTAATATTGGTTTTCTTTGTGGGTCATTGGAAATTGCTATCAACCTTTCTTTATCTGTCGAGTGAACTAGGCGATGGTTTTCAATACTAAATGGTTTTTTGGAGATTATTCAAATGTTAAAAATGTAATGCCAACTACCATTCCGTTTAAGAAGGCAAAGAGTGGCATTATGTATGCTGTTTTTTCCTGCATTTATCAGTAAATTATCACACTAACCTGCTTTCGCATGATTTTCAGGTACCCTTCTTCTCCCAAATGGATGATCAGCTTCTCGATGCAATATGTGAGCGTTTAGTATCCTCGCTAAGCACTGAAGGTACCTATATTGTTCGTGAGGGTGATCCCGTGACGCAGATGCTTTTTATTATCAGAGGTCGGTTGGAGAGTTCGACTACTAATGGGGGTAGGACTGGTTTTTTCGATTCAATTAGATTGAGACCTGGAGATTTCTGCGGCGAGGAGCTACTTACTTGGGCGTTGCTCCCGAAATCCAGTGTCAATTTGCCTTCCTCGACCAGAACAGTTAGAACGCTTGTAGAAGTGGAGGCTTTTGCTCTGAGAGCGGAAGATCTCAAGTTTGTGGCCAACCAATTTAGACGCCTCCACAGCAAAAAGTTGCAACATACCTTCAGGTTTTATTCCCACCACTGGAGGACATGGGCTGCCTGCTTCATCCAAGCAGCTTGGCGCCGACATAAGAGGAGGTCTATCGAAAACAGTCTTTCCATGAAAGAGTATGAGAATGTGGTTGAGGAGTCAGGTCAAGAGACAGAGGATTCTTTTGTCTCCAGAAATCCTTCTCAGACAAAACTAAATCTGGGAGCGACAATACTGGCTTCCAGATTTGCTGCGAACACTAGGAGAGGAGCTCAAAAGATCAAAGACGTGGAGATGCCAAAGTTACGAAAACCTGAGGAACCTGACTTTTCCTCCCAACCTTATGATGAATAGCTGGTCTGGTTGGGTCAGGTTTCATTGCTTCAGCTTTTGCGTGCCATCAAGAAAATTTGCTTTTGAAATGGAATCTACAGTGGTGCGGTCTTGAGCTGCATATATTGACGTTAGGCTGAGACATATAAGGGTTTTACAACAAAGAGACTCCTCTCCGAAGGAATGGTATGACTTAAAAAGACGAGTGACAGTCAGAGACTCAGAGTGCCAAGTGAGGAGAAGTTGTCATTAAAGGCATTTAGCAATGTGTCTAATTTAGCAGCGCAAACGTTTGCTCTTCTAATTTATTGTATTCGGCCAAGCATTCGTGAGTGAAGTTCTGTTACCTTGCCGGTGAAAATATATAGATTAGTGTTACTGCCATATATATTGTATTGTCCATGACTAGACAGTGTACAAGAATTGCTTAGTTGAGGATGCATTGTTAGTAGATGGACCAGACCCATTTAGTAACTATTAGTGAAAAATATGCAGCATATCAGGATTGTGGAGGACTACGACATTTCGATCTTCTGACTGCACTGTTCGAAAGTGTATGGGACAGAAAACTGAGTTATGGAAGCAGAAGCAAAAGTTCTCTTACCACCTTCGTCGGATTGTCATTTCTGGTAAATGCCATCTTTTATGTATGAAATGTGATTTCAGTGTTCGATATAACCTCTCTGTAAGGAATGTAAAAATCTGACAAATCAGGGGCATGGTGCGTAAGCGCACCCAGTTAGGTATCTGATGGTTTCGGTCCTTCATTTGAGTTTTGCACGGAAAACTTGTCATACTCGTGCAACTTCTGGGATTGCGGATCCTTTGTCTAACTGTTGTGGCAAAAGCTTGTTTTTTTTCTGATTCTCATTCACATGTGAACTCTTTAATGCATTAAGAGGGCAATGTGCTTTGTAATTTGCATGGGTGAAACTCTCTCATATTTATGCCCAACTCAGCAGAAAGAATAGGATCGATTTGTTATCTCTCATTCTTGCATTTCCTTCGAGAGACAAATTTCTCCAATTAGACCTTGTACTTATAACGTTAGAAATATAAATCGACTTTTCGTGTTGCGCTTCCAATGTACTCACCTTTAATTTGTTCGTTCAAAATAGTGATAAAATATAACTATCAAACTGAAGTTTCGTTGAAATATTTTGTAATTGTATTCTGGAGATTGAGCAAGCAGTAAACTGGGAAGTTCTAGCTAGAAGTAAAGTTCTAATCTCCAACAAAACTGGCCAATTTTTACATACTCTTCGTTGATGGTGGTGGTCCATTGGCGGCGTGCCAGTGGCAATGGCAGATGGCTATTCGATGGTGGGCAGTGGTGGCAGCATCAGTTAGTCATGGTGGCCGATAAAAGAAATGGAAATGTGTTTTCCAATAAGAATTTCATTCGATCAGTTTCCGAAATTCAAATTTTTGTCATCCAAAAACACATGCCGTGTCTCTTCCTATTGCAATAAATACAGTAGATATGAGAACAACACAGTGTATAGATTCCGCAAAATGAGAACAATAATAGTAAATATTATATAGTTGACCAGGAAGACAATATGGGTAGTTTTTCTCATTGTGGCAAAATGGAAATCAAGGTAAAGATTTTCCTATATTCAATTTCATTTTCCTCCCACCAGTTGGGCAATGTCTCTTTTGCACGGAGCTATTTATGTTTGTGAAAGAAATTGTCGAAAACAGATACTTTAAGATGCATTTCTACCCAGAACACACTCACTTCCAATTACTACCTCACTAGAAGAAGCAATTCAGAAGAAAAATCAGATTATACAGAAAACATGTAATTGAGGTACATCTCTGAACCAGCAACTTAGCCGTCGCCATTCGCTGTTTGAACCAAATTTACAAACAAAAGTTAGGCCAGAAAGGACAATCTATACATGTATATCCTGAAGCTGGGATTGTTCCTATTGGCCATACTTGTCGATGTCGTAGAACTCTATGTTCTTGTATTTTTGGGATATTATCTCTGCTTGAACTTTCCTTGCGGTATCGGTTGCACAACCGACCAGAATAAGAACCGACGTGCCAGCGAATCCCCGGAAGGCTGTGAGATGCGAGACTTGTTCGATCACTGCAGGACCGGCAGCAAGGATGGCCAGAAATGCAGACCCTAGAACTGATATCCGGCTAAGGACCTACGACAAGAATAAATAAATTAAGAAAAGAGAAAAAGAACAAATTGCGAGGTATTAAAACCCAATCCAGATAGAGGATATAGCATGGAGATACATGAAGGGATGTGCAGATTTCTTAACATGAAAATAATTGAACAGAGCAGGTGAAGACCAAAGAAGCTGGGAAATCTTGGGCTTAGTAGAGTGTAATAACTCAGAGAGAGAGATTAAGATCTGAAAGGAACAGAAGCCAAAATATCCATTAAAATGAGAGGCATTGGTTTGCTAACAAAATGGTTAAAAAAGGGGTTTAAGGTTTTAAAAGATTATTTCTCAAGATATATACAGGTAATTATGCTTAACCTAAGAAAAAAGGTAAAGCATTGACAAATCCAGGCAATAAAACCACGATGCCCTTGTCCCACTAGCCAGGATACGTCCAAGGAAACACCAAATATGCCTATCTCCTTAAATATGAAATAGATGCCATATGAGCAAGCGGAATTCCTACCAAAACACCTGAATAAAAACATGTTGCAAAATGTTTAATCACGAGAAAATTACCGTCTTGATGAATGCGGCTGTAGTTTTACCCGGTCGAACAAGGGGAATTGATGCTCCTTGGCGTTTCAGCTGTTCACTCACATCATCAGGGTCCAACTGTAGGAAAGTGTAGTAGTAGTTGAAGAAGGCTATTAATAGTATGTTGCTTGGCAGGTATAGAGAACCTACAATAGTAATTTATCACCATTAGACCACATCACATGTCCAAAATGAGAAAAAACGGAACAGTCCACCAACATTCCACTTTCCTACAGTAAGAGCAGAATCAAGCATGATTAAAAAGTATCGCACAACGAATAGATGTTTCGACATATATTACTGAGAACTGGTAGCAGAGAGAGATTTTCTTGAGGTGAAATAAATAGGATATACAAACATCAATTTGCTAATGTGATGGGTACTCAGATAGTAAAAGCAGAATATGCTACAAAAAGATGATTGCCGAGCTCTCACATATGAAATGAAAAACCCAAGCATTTAATCTGCAGGAAAAGTTGCATTAAGTAGACCCCAAGTACTAAAATTGATCGAGCAAACCATATATGCATCTACAGTGCAGGGAGTTGGCACTGATCGCACTGACACATTGCCATGTGCAAAGCTTGACTTTGATGCATTCGTGAAGAATGACAGTTCACTGCAACTGCGAGGGGGTTTACACGTGGTTTTCAATTCAATTGCAGGTTAACCATGCAAAATTAATGTGGATGACCGAGGACAATAAACATTAGATGGTACAAACGAGATGATACTAATAAGAGTTCACTCTCAAAGCATACCTTTTGAACGTTGAAGTCTTTACAATAATGGGTGACACATCCAAAACCTATTTCATAAATTTAACTGAAGTGACAAATAACTTACGTGTGCCATTTATACGCTAAAATTGATTTGACAAATCAAACTTCCTACTGCCGTTTCTAAATTATGCTGCATGTCTGAAAGCAGAAGCATACCGAAATCAATACAGAAGTAAATAAATTCAAAAGATCCTTCAGCTCAAATAGATAATCAGTTGTTTCATGACATTGTTCTGTAACAATGGTCACAGTAATTCTATTAGCAATAGTTACATCTAAGATGTTTTCTGTTCCCATGTTTGATAAAATTATGGGTCTGAGCTCATGACAGTAATTTCTACATGGAAGCCGACATATCAAAGCATATGAAGGAACAATCTTCTCATGATATTTAAAATATATAATTCTTTGCATTTTTAAGTAATTCAGCTTAAAGCCTTTCCTGTTACTAATCACAATCTTCAGTCAAAATGAACTAATCATACCCCCTGGGTTGAGAGCCACGGCAGCTTTCTTCAGTACAGCTAAACCTGTGAAGCGTGCAACGGTTCCGGGGAGAGCCAATGAAGATGTAGAAAATATAATGGGCATCACTCCAGAGCTATTCACCTGTGATAGGAATCATGAACCATACAATTATAGCTCTAATTGGCTCAACATTTAAAGCAAGTGACCTCGCTCCAATTTCAACCAAAATATGGATAATAATCGCATATCTGCAAGCAGTACACTCATATAGGTACAACTTTGTACACTGTACTACCTATAGCACATGAATGTTAACATCAAAGCGTAGTTTCCTTGGTGGCCAAACAGTTATTTAACTGTAGACACCAGAGTTATGGTATCTAGTATATTTCAAAATGACTGGCTATGTCCGAACTCTTATTATGCTCCTCACAATGCAATATCTCTCTATAGAATATTTTGGCTCTACAGATTATAGACTAAGTAAATTGGCTAATTCAGCATATTAAACTCGTAGAGAGAAGGGTGGAAATAATTGGCCCGGAAGCCTAAATTATCAATTCATGCTATTCCAGGATAGACGGATGAAATCAGGTAGTTTAAATTGCATTTAGATTATCTCCCCAAGTGCTTAGCTCAAATAACAAGTCACTTGCAAAAACAGCAGCAGTTAACATAACTTACGAAAAGAGGCAACAAGAGGAGCATGGATAAAGATTAGCAAAAGCAAGCAGAACTAATGTTCCCATGGTCTACTGACATGTATATGATTTGTCAAATGATCCAACCATTTCATTGAGGTAAAGCAATTCAGTACCAGGAAAGGAAAAAGAGGAAACCGAGAACTACATGGATTTAATAGATAGAATAGACAACCGCACTTCACATAAAGTTAGGTGCAAAACAGAAGAAAATAGAGAAACAAGGAACTCTGCCAGATCACAACTAGCTCTTGTATGACCATCCATAAATTAACTAAGACTGTGAAACCTTATTGAGAAGGGCAGTTTGCGACCATGTTTAGAACTTTGTTACTCCAGTCCCCTACAGTTAATAAACAACTGGAAATGAGTAGTATACCTTGAAGGGTAAGTAAGCAGATTTTTGTAGGCCTCCACTTCTGCTGGTGTATCTTGAGGCATAGTTAAGGGGAATTTTCCTTTCTGCTTCCTGAAAATCTTTGTCATGGAGCATGTTAGGTACATGTCTTTCTCCTAATCCTTTCATAATAAGATAACATTCTAGAATATATAATGATCACTTACCTGAACATATACAATACCAAGGACTAAGAGGACGAAAGATAAAATGATGGTAGCAAGTCCAACGTAGTTGCCATCCTGATAAGCTTGTGCAACTGTTCGACCAAAAGATGCTGGTAAGTAGGAGATTATGCTTGTAAATATTAACAGCGAAGTGCCATTTCCAAGTTTCAGGTCAGAGATCCTTTCTCCGATGTATGTTGTAAATACTGAGCCGAGTGTCAATAATGTAACAGAAGAAACAGCCCACTCTGTGCTGAAGTCCTCGACATAGGGACGGAGGAAGAGTACTTGGCCTATAGCCTGGCATATAGATAAGATGGGAATACATGTTACCAGGAGAACTCATCATTAGGAAAAAGTATCTTCAGCTGAAGTGAATTAACATCAAGTAAAACAGTAGACAATCAACTAGAAAAGATCACTTTAAATGACCTTTCCTGAGTTTTATGGCTACATTATGTATGAAAGCCCACTAAGCCCAGATCCCTTGTTGGCACACTGTTAGGGCTCTCAAGAAACATATCAAACAGAAATACTTCCATTCAGTTCATTTATATTTGCTTTTGAAAGAACTGGTCACTAAAGTATGTAAAGTATCTAACACACATTTGTAGGAGAGATTTGAGAAAGTAGAGAACTGCGAGTAAAAATCCAAACATGCAGTCTAGAATGGAACAAAAATCAGAAACCAAAGAAGCCACATATCCTTTTCACACACGCTGTAATTTTACTTTGGCAATGGTTAATATAATTTCGTGTGCAGTGCTTGCCTGTACTAGGGCAAACCCGACTGAAGCATATCGAGTATACTGGAGAATTTTCTTCCTTCCAGCTTCACCTTCTCTTTTTTGCAGGTCTTGCAACTTCGGATATATTTGTGCCAAAAGCTGAAACACAATTTGCGCATTGATAAAGGGAACAATACCAAGGGAGCAAATACCAAGTCTACCGATACCTCCCCCAGAAAAAGAATCCAAAGTGCTCAACAAACTATTCTGATCCAAATTCCCAGCAAAAGCTTCCCGATTTACCCCTCCCAGGGGAACATATATGCCTAGTCGGGATAGGGCCAAATATCCCAGCAACTTCAGGAATTTCCCAGGCAATGGTCCTTTAAAGAAATCACCGAAATCAATAGAACTATCCTCAATTGCAGCTGCAAAAGAAATAGAGTTTGTTAGCCGAGTGCCTATCCGAGCTAATGACTGCCAAACTATGAATGATAAGCAATGTAAGAAGTTTGAACCTGCCACTCCACGAGATGATGTTTTTTCCCTTCTTGTGCTCGAGGAGCTCTCAGATATTGGTGAAAACAAATCTAGAAAGCTTTCCCATGTGGAGTTCAGCCCAGAGGAATGATGTGAGTCTATTCCCAAAGGATCAAAAACTGCGCCCTCAGAGCTGAGGAGTGTTAAAGGGACAAAATTAGTAAAATAAAGAACTTAACGATGACAACTTTTGTGAAAAGGGAAGCAATGACCGGACTCAAGTTATCATTGCTTTGAAAAATGAAGACAACAAAAACGTGGACAATGTGAACTACATCAGATAACTAAACAGGTCAACTAAATTAAGGTTCTAAAATTTTCTGGTGAACACGAACATAAATTAGACGTTCAAAGTGAATTCCGAACCCTCATTCTCTGACTGTTAGCTTCAGCAGAAGAATTGCAACTGTGGCAAGGAGCTTTATTGAGAAGCAAAGTTACATCAAAGAAATTGACTTGGTGAAAGTAACAATAGAGCATATAACAGACAGCAGCAAGAATCCCAGCAGTGTCTGCTAATTATTGCTGATCTGGCATCAGATGAAATAAGAGACGATCTGGAGAGCGTACTCTAGTGTAAAAGGAGAAGCCAACCATGCTACGTGCCTAAACTTTGCAATAGCAGGACCTTGAATACCTCTCAGGAAAGTTCACCATCCTGAATCCTATTGAAAAACTCCAGAATGGATTTAGTGAATATGACCTGAACAATCCTAATTCTCAATTTCCAGGTGTCTAAATTCGTTATACTTTCCTTTTGCACCTCTTTCAACCTATCATCAGTAATATCACATCAAAGAACCTTCCATCAGCACTATCTCGCCTAGTCTATGCAACAGCTCCCCTTTATTAAGTTACGAGCCACATGCCAATTCAACAAGATTTATCCCACTTTGAATTCCTTAAAGCTGCAGTCCAAACTCCAACGCATCTTAAAACCGAAATGAGATGCACTAAAATCCTCAGCAACCATGTACAACTCACAAATGAACCAGGCATTCACTCAAATTTTGCCGACGAACACATTTTTCTTCAACAACCTCAATTTCAATGTAAGAAAAGGAAAAAAACTATCTCAAGTCCAAAAGGGTTGGTCCCACTTTCAGGAAGACTCGCTACGACAAGACATGAACAGCCAAAATTCCACACATTTAAGAAAATCCTAATAACAAAACACCCAAAAGCTCCAAGTTGGCAAATTCTTTCCTCTGGAGCAATCCCACATTGTGAAACACGAATTGACGATTCTTGGAGCAGAAACACTCATGCTAGTATCAATCTACTACTACACCTGTTGCTAGACACGAGACCAAAGACTCGCTACAACAAGACATGAACAGCCAAAATCCCACACATTTAATCATCAAACCCCAGGAAAATCCTAATAACAAACACCCAAAAGCTCCAAGTTGGCAAATTCTTTCCTCTGGAGCAATCCCACATTGTGAAACACGAATTGACGATTCTTGGAGCAGAAACACTCATGCTAGTATCAATCTACTACTACACCTGTTGCTAGACACGAGACCAAAGACTCGCTACAACAAGACATGAACAGCCAAAATCCCACACATTTTTTTTTTTTTTTTTTTTTTTTTTTTTTGGTAAGGTAAGTATATATATAACTTTCTCAAAATAATCCCACACATTTAATCATCAAACCCCAGGAAAATCCTAATAACAAACACCCAAAAGCTCCAAGTTGGCAAATTCTTTCCTCTGGAGCAATCCCACATTGTGAAACACGAATCGACGATTCTTGGAGCGGAAACACTCATGCTAGTATCAATCTACTACTACACCTGTTGCTAGACACGAGACCGAAGACTCGCTACAGCAAGATATGAACAGCCAAAATCCCACACATTTAATCATCAAACCCCAAGAAATCCTTATAAAAAGAACACCCAAAAGCTCCAAGTTGTCCAAATTCTTTCCTCTGGAGCAATCCCACATTGTGAAACACGAATTGACGACTCTTGGAGCAGAAACACTCATGCTGGCATCAACATACTACCACACCTGTTGCTAGACACGAGACCCAGCTTCAAGGAGGGCTTCCTTTGGGTACCGAAACTGGCCCTGCAAGCCCATCGCCTCCGCTTCGGGGATGGTGTTGGAGAGGAAGAAGAAAGCGGCCAAGAAGAGACAGTCGCTGCTGCTTCGCCGACCGTTATCAACATTATCCCCCACGAACCGGTTTCTTGCCCTTCGTGACTGCCGGAATTATATTCAAAGCCGTAGCCATAGCTAGTGTTTAAGGACCCGGCCCAGCTTGCGGTCCACAAAATTGAAAACAAAAGTTTATATTCGTGAAAGATTAAATTTTGATCGGGATAAATACAGCTATGGCACTTAAGTGCCATAACTTTTTGGCTCGGCTGAGTCTTGTAAGCTTTCAAAAAAATGATCGGCTTAAGTGCGACTTACTACAGTGGTCGTGAGGGCCGAACTGCGACTTTTCCGACCGAACAATGACCTTCCCGGTGAGGCGAGCACCACCAGCTTGAAGAGGGGGGTGTCGATGAATCATTCCATGGCCTCCGTTCTTCTCGAAATTTCCGTTTTAGCCTCCGTTGACGATGGTAAAAATGCTTCGTAGTCACACATATCGGCTCGATAAATGTGTGACTACGAAGCATTTTTACCTTCACCAACGGAGGCTAAAACGGAAATTTCGAGAAGAACGGAGACCATAAAATGATTCACCGACACTCCCTCTTCAATCTGGTGGTGCTCACCTCGCCGGGAAGGTCACCGTTTGGTTGGAAAAGCCGCGGTTTCGGGCCCTCACGACCAATCCTTCGACAAGCTGGTCGTGAGGGCACGAAACCGCGGCTTTTCCGGTCGAACGGTGACCTTCCCGGTGAGCGAGCACCACCAACTTGAAGAGGGGGTGTCGATGAATCATTCCATGGCCTCTGTTCATCTCGAAATTTCCGTTTTAGCCTCCGTTAACGAAGGTAAAAATGCTTCGTAGTCACACAAATCGGCTCGATAAATTGTGTGACTACGAAGCATTTTTACCTTCGTCAACGGAGGCTAAAACGGAAATTTCGAGACGAACGGAGGCCATGGAATGATTCACCGACACCCCCTCTTCAAGCTGGTGGTGCTCGCCTCACCGGGAAAGTCATTGTTCGGCCGGAAAAGCCGCGGTTTCGGGCCCTCACGACCAGCTCGTAAGTGGTACTTAAGTGATCATTTTTTTGAAAGTTATGGCACTCAAGTGAGCCAAAAAAAAGTTATGGCACTTAAGTGTCCTCCGTACAAAAGTTATGGCACTTGCGCTGTACTTATCCCAATTTTGATCATTTGACGACAAAAAATTAAAGAATATTATTAAATGTAATGTAACCTTAGCTTATCTTGATGGTTGATGCCCGATATGAGATTTCGCTTGAGAAAGTGGGTTCACGCTTTGATGATTTATTACACCACGATCGGACAACAAGGGGGGCGATTTTGGACCTATCGAAGATGGTGGCATGGAAACAGACTCACCAAGAACATTATTAACGGAGATTCAAATGTGTTGATGTTGACATGTGCACAAAAATGTCATGGATTTAGGTTCAATACTAAATTGGCTAATATCGGTATTTTGAGTTCACTCTTTAATAATCAAGTGATTTATGTCTGAATGGAATAGTTGTGGCTGTAGTTTAAGTGCGCCGCAATGTGGTTATGTTGCGAAGCATTGTAAATAGAGATGATCAATAGGCGGCTCGGCTCGCACTGCCTGCCCAAACCTGCCTAGTTCTGAGAAGGCTAAGAGGTAAGTAGCTGAACTTAGGCAAAAGTCTCACACAGAAAAGCCCTGACCCCCACATCTTTAGCGAGTTTGGCCTCCTGTGCACAAATTGATCGGGAGCTGATACCGCTCTCTTGATGAGGCCATGGTAGATTAAAATCAGTTGTTGTGCTTAAAGTATTCTGCGTTTATTGCTCGATGGACTAAACGCTCGAGTTAAGCTAGGCGTGGTACGATCCAAAACGAGAAAGCTATTTGCCATACGGTTCTTTGGAACAACTATAGAATTAAGGCTGGCCTGGTATGAACGACCCACCAGATGCCGCACGGGCTATTACATAGCTAAGAAATTGCTGGCCCGTGATACGTCTATCACTATTTCAGCACAACTTACCTTAAAGAATAGCGTAAGAGAGTCAGAGTAGCAACCATATCCATCATCCGTTTTGAGCATAATACATAAGAATCAACACTGAAATTAGACACAAGTGTATAACTTTTCAAGAAGAAGATATTTATGGCTTACGTGTGCCGTGCCCATCAACTTCGAAATGAATTTAGAGTTTTGCAGTATAACAAATTTGAGCCATGATGCTAGAACTTGAGCATTAGAGTTTAGACGAGTATTCTCTCTATAATCTCAATCTTTCCATTTCCAGATTCTTCCCAAGTTCCCAGTTTCTAGCTTTCAATAGACTGCGAGGCATCACAAAAGGTGTTCTTCCGACTTGTTTGACACAGGTAACGGCATGCTCTTGACAATGAGACTACAGTCAAACTGAGACTTCATGGAGCAATATAAATTCTCAGACAGAACAACCAGGCTTGTTTTCTTTACAAATATTGGATCCTTCATCACGCTTAGTCATGCAACCCAAATGCAGATGCAAGCAAGCATGAAAGTTGAAAGATTTTGTGACCTTAGTATATTCACTTCACTCTTCAAACAGATGTAAGTATGCTATCGCCAAAGAACCTAAGTGCACAATCCATGCTAGTTAGAGAAGTCAATTGGACAAAATAAATGTTTAAGGTTCCAAATGCAAGAACCATACAAGGGGATGAATTCTGGACTTGTCCCAAAATTTCTCACGCTATTGCAAATTACCCAAAAAGGCAGAGTGTAAGTTTTTTCCCCTTTCCCAGTTTGATATACACATGAAACAGACTTTGCACCTTCCTGTCCCTTCTACTTCTCATTTTTTTTTTGTTTATCCAGTGAAACTGAAAGAAATATACAATTAAATCCAGACCATTCAGAGGTTCTACAGCAATTTGATACAGCACAAGGCAAAAAAATTGGAGGGAAACATGAACACACCCCATATTCCATTACATGGATGCCACACGATACAATGTTGAGCAAGGTCTAACGAACCCGTCCAACACTGTACCCCTAGTTGACAACCTTCTCCTTCTTTTTGGTTGCCCGCAAGAAATTCTTCTGAGAATGGTGTCGAGAAAGTAAAGCTCACATTTACTCAAAATCACTGCCCCTCTGAGAATGATGACAAGAAAGCAAAGCTGACACTGCCTTACCTGCATAAGATGTTAGTATTTTATTGTTCAAGAAGCCACAACAACTTCATCATCTACCAACGCAAGATACAGAGACAAGCTAATGGTCACAACATGGCAAATGCATCTCAACCAAAAAGAAAGACATATATACTTTGGAATCTCAGGCTATTCTCAGGAGTTTGATCCTAGAAGATGCTAAAGACACAGTATGTGGACATAATATTTTTCTCTTTCAAGTCTGTTTAGTTTGTGTATACTTGATTCCAAGCAGAAAGCTCGTTTCCATGGAAACCATCATGTAGAGGATAGAAAGGTCAATAAACAACCCTCCCCCCCAGGGGCCACTTACAAGGGACAAAAGTTGAAAGACCAGAAGGTATATTCTTCCATCCAAATTCACAGTCACGAGGAAAGAGCAGGGAACTATAAACAACAAACAGTAATGATGGTACTCTGTTTCTGCTCTAAATGCTACGCAATCCCTGAATAATTTCCCTAAATCTCAACAACTAGACTTGTATAGCTCCATTAAGTTAATCTTCATCCTCCTTTCTATTCACCATCATTGGTTTGTGCATTCACCAAACGATGGTACCTTACCTTCCATGCTGTATATGCCCCACTCTCCAAATCTTCATTCATGAAATGGTTAATTCCCACAAATTATATCAGGCTAAACTTATGTTGCTCATTTATATATTGGACATATCAAAGCTAGATAGACAATTCTTTCCCATGTACTTTCCAGTTCCAGATTAGGCAGACCTCAAACATCAGATAGAGCTAAAGTGCCAACTACAAGTAAAGTCATTATTGTGGCCACCTCCCTCCATTAGGAAAGATTCACTTCCAAGTGCCTTCAAAACCATTTGCCTAGTAGAGTTTGACCAACAGTAGTGAATTTCTCAACTCCCAGTCTCGTTACTTAAATGGAGACAAGCTAATCCCCAGACAGGATGGCTAGAGGTCACTGAATTGAAATTTATGACCATGAGCCTCGAAAATATATAGCATGCACTATATAATTGTGCATATATTACAGTCTTTTAATCACGGAAGGTCATTTCTCCAGACAGAGAAATATTGGTTGGCAAGCATAAGGTGTTCCTCCTTCAAGTCAATGTGATACAACAACATACAAACACACTGTTGGACCCAGCCAAGTTTGTCTTACTTCCAAAAAGTTGTAAGTCACACTGCTTTAGCTGTTCAAAGCACAAAAAGCATATGTGCTTCTCAATGGCACAGGAATCAGATTCAAATTAACATATACTAATACATATGGGACCCACATTTTTGTCCAACTAGCAATGACAAAATATGGGGCCGGTAATTTGTTCAGGACAAAATCCAACCTCACATAGTCCGAATGATCAGTCATGTAGATAGAAAATTGCTTGTGCTTTCTGCAAAAGATGAAGGAAGCAAATCTTCCTAGACCATCTTAGCAATATTCAATTTTAGTACTATTCGACAAACTTGAACATGCAGATTCTATGAAATATTACACAGGCGTATTTGCCTATGAGCATGGTCATTTGCTGTTTCAATGACTAGGCAATGCAAAGATTGCTATCCACTTGTATAACAGAAAAATTAAGCAAATATCGAGTTACGATCCACTTGCATGGTCAGGTAAAATCCATATTGACTGTGCACAGAACAGTTACCCAACTAAATGCTACTTTTGACAAAATCAATCATTTATTGGGTAAGAGATGGAACGATTAAATTAGAAATGACCCGCATGTACAATCTATAAGGACTATATGTAAGAGGAAGAGACATACGTACTGGATATCGTTGCCAACAGGATCACTGTCAATTAACATGAAGGACAGCATGCTGCATGGAAATATCCAAGATTACACCACTCGGTCAAAAAGAAAAGTGTAAATACTCTTGACAGAGATATGCAAGTCAAAAGCCAAATGTAGTAAAGCAGAAAGAGCTTAAGAACAACTTTAGAAATGAGCATGCAAGTTGATACCTTAATTTGGGTTCTGTTATATGTATAGGTAATGTGAACCGATCCATCACTAGCCTGGATGACAGCAGGATATGAAAACTCCATCTCTGAGTTTTCTTCTAGGGTTAGAGCTTCGCGCCAAGAATCACCATCATCCAAGGACACAGCAACTTTGAGTATGCCCCTTGAAATTGTATTGTAAGCAACTATGAGAAGGCCATTCGTCAGCTTAACCCCATCGATACCTAGCCAAAACAAAGAAACTACTCCTTTAAATGTTGGAATGAAGGGAAGGTTGCTGTTATGGTGGATACTTAGCTCTCTGGCATTTGAAAACTATAATGGAATACAAAAATGGAGCATCAAGGGAAGTTATAAAGCCACATTGAAAAATCAGCAGTCAAGGGCACCAATTCAGTAAGTTCAGGGACAACCATCGCAATAAATTGATAATTTGTCTTCTTATCATGTACTTCATCTATCATTGATCGAGTGAAGCATTGGATATCTTCAGCTCAGTAGTTCTTGATATGATGAAGCACCTTGTGCTAACAGATAGATGCTCATGCAAACCCATTTGATATATCAGATAGATCATTCAAATTGGATTACCAAAATGATCCGGACAACATTGTCATGGCAAACAAAGACCCTACACTTCTAGCAGTTTGCCACTGAATGGACAGAAAAGATTGATGTTCTCTTATATCAAAAGATGATTTCAATCAAATTGAGAAGCATTCTAAATTATGCCGGCAAAAATTTGCAATTAACCTGAGTTTGGGTTTGGGAGTTCAGTAAATTCTGCATAACCCCAATTCATGCCCCCATCATGGGATTCTGACATGCAAATTCGATCAATTCCAGTGAATGATCGTAACAGAACACGAAGGGTGCCTCTTGCAGTCTTGTAGGGAACTGGTTGGATCACACTAAGATTCTCATTCTTTATGTAAATCGGGCCATACTTCTTCCATGTTCTACCAGCATCTGGAGTGATCTGTATCAATACACATCACATATATGACAAAAATTGCCTAGACTAACTGGGATCTCATAGATATGAGAGATTAAAAGTCTGACCTCCATCCATGCACCCCAAGAATTCCAACTTTCCACTGAGGATCCACATAGCAAGTGTCCATTATCAAGCAAGATAGGCTGCGGAAGATTTAGAGACACAGAATGATGTTGTATACGTACAGTTGAGTTCAGAATTTAGGCTCACATAATTCGTAAAGGAACACATAAGCTTATATATAGATTACAGCTTGTACCTTATTCTTGATTGGTCCTAATATGCCTGGTGGAAGTTGTTCTCGTTCAGACCAGCTGACACCTTGGTTATAAGATCTTTTCATGCATCCGCTCCATCTAAACTTCAATAAGAAGATTTTAGGAGTTGCAATAGAAACTTTTTACTGACGCATATTATGTCTTATTGGTGTATAGCACCATATGTTGGTGTAAGCTGAAAGGAAACATAAAATATTATTGATGCTGACCAGTTATGACTTGATTCACATGACATTAAGCGATCTACAAAGACTAAAAACGATGCATACTAACTTTGACATCCATGTAGGCACACAAATACCCAAACTACAATCATATTTACATGTCAAGTGAATGACACAGAATGGAGCGAGAAAAATGATGAGACATTGTTGAATACCAGAATACCACTGTTTTCTACCACTTACTGTTCAGAAACGTGTAGCAGGGAAAAATTTGTTTGAAGTGCCAACAGAATTAACACCAACAGCATCCAGACCCTTTTCCCATTAAGTGGTTTCAGATTAATAGGCACTCTTGCATCATTCAAGGCAGTTTAGCACCGTATGTTCCTTAAAATCCAAGTTAAGAATGTGCACGGGTGTCTAATCTACTAAAAGTTTGGGACACATCTTTTCAGGTCTTTTGCTACCCCTTTACCCAGTGCCCTCACCATAAAGTCGGATATTACTAGAGCATCTGAAAACTATCATTTATAGGTCCAAACTATTTTAAATGAGATTCTTTTATTTTATCCTCAACTTGAACCACACAAACTTAGTCTGGAGTATTAATCGTTAAGCTTATTTTTTCTTGAGTATTCGAATCCGGCGAAGCATACTCATCTCTACACAGTTATTTTGTGCAGAAGATAGTACTAGATCACCCAATTTTCCATCCATGGAGCATGGCAGCTATTATTCCTGACATATGAATTTTGCCCTTAAACTTAGGTGGCATTCAAAGATTTGACAAGATACTGACTATACTTGCGCTACTTCATTCATTGATTCCCCCTGTATCAGAAGATTGTCATAGCCAAAGAAAGAAACAGCTGCAACTTGTCCATTCATAATACAGGCAATTCGTCAAATCAACAAGAAGAAAGGAAATGAAAAACTTTCAATTTTATTTTTGATCCCCAAGAACTATTGTTTATGTAATTCTGAGCTTGGAACTTTTAAGAAAATACATTCATCAGTGCACAAAGAATAAGATCCAGCATCACGGCCTCTCGCGAGACTACCCATTATACGATATAGAAGAAAAGGCATGTTGAAGTAACATCAGAAACGCCTCAAGACATGCTATAGTACACCCATGGTCCACCTTGAACAACTAGATTCTCCAGTTCCACACAGTAAGCTCCATGATTACAGCAGCTTCAACTGAATATAGCTTGCACAGCCTTTTTAGTCATTTAAAATCACATGCTTCAGGGATCGGAAAGGTCTATATGTGTATTCTCTGTATTTAGTGTATTAAATTTTGCCTTCCAGAATGAAAAGAAGTTTCTATCCCAGCTTCGTCTCGTTTTCAAGGAAATGGTCAGGTACAGTTGTACAAAAAGAAAATTTCCAGACCACATAAAGCCACAAGTAATATATTAAGATAGATGGCAAAAACAACTGTGACTGACAAGTAAAATTTAGGAAAGATAAATTTCTCAAACACAGGCCATATGCATACAAGTCGTCCAATGGCAACAGGACAGAAACAGGGCACATTTACACAATGTCAAGTGAAACAACAACTTCGATTACGACATTATCCATATAGGCTAACTGTGTTAAGTCTTAACTCATTCAGAGTTAGCCTGTCCCAACTAAAGAACACCATGTACCCATCAGCAGCAGCATATCTGTGAAAAGATAGCGTTCCGTTCCATAGTCAGACATGATATATGTGCCTAACTATGATGAGATTAGATCTTATAGCAAGATGATTGAGTGTGGAACAAATAACATAGAAGCAACGGTGACAAGAGAAGGGGTACAATCTGTTGCAACTACCGAGCAACCAGCCCCTCAAAAAGAGGGTCATAACTATAAAAAAGAAACTGTGGCATAGAATATCGAGAAGTATTTGTCCCACTCAGATAAAGGACATAATAGTTTGTGTCCAAACTACTAGTGAAAGCACTAATGTTTGGAGGAAATTAGTGAAGGTTAGATCCATTTTACAACCTTAAATAAGAAATTTGATTGGTGACGACAGGAGCACCTCGTGTTTAGATAATTGGCACCCTAGAGGTGTTTTTTGGATGTAAATCCTAGAAGACTTGCGTATGATTCTAATTTTTATATATTCATGCCAAAGTTTCAGATGTTGTATCTGGGAATGAGTGGGTTTAGCCTCCTGCAAGGTCCGAGTTCTTGGTAGAAATACAAGCTGCTGTTTGTCTGTCATGTTTCAGTGCTCTGCTTTGCCTGATTGAATTGTACTCACTGGCTCCAATTATAGATTTCTTGCTCAGTCTGATGCTTGGAATCTGGTTAGGAACAAGAAGGAAAAAGTTTGGTGGCATAGGCTCATTTGGTTTACTCCAAATGTTTCTGAATTTCCTTTTATCTGTAGGCTAGCTTAGCTTGACAAATTGTCTACTTTGGACAGATTTAATAAGTGGTGCTAAAAAAAAAAGTGGTGCTCCTTGGCTAATCAGTGTCTGCTTTGTAAGGTGGATTCTGAATCAAGGCATCATCTCTTCATAGCATGTTCATTCTCTAGTGCTGCTTGACCTTCCCTGCTTCAGTGGATGGAGATTTTTTGACCAGATAGAGACTGAAATTTTGAGGTGGACTGGATTTTGCTGGTGACGAACAGCAAAGCTTTTGCCAAGTTACTGCTGAAATTGGCCTGGAATGGAGCTATCTACTACCTTTGAGAAGAAAGGAATGAAGCTCTTCATAATAGATCCACCCCTCACATTGCTAGAGTGAAATGTCTTTTTTAGCTCTCAAGTGAAGATGATTTCTTATTTCGCTAAGAAGAAGATAAGCATATCTCCTGCTGATAGAAGAATTTATGAGAATCAGGGTGTTTGGTTTCCTTCTCTGTAGCTTGATCTCCTTGAATGGATTGAATTAGTCTTGTGCTATGTGTGATATTGTTCTGGGTGATGTGAAGTCTTGTCTGTTTTTCATGTTGTACATATAGTTTGGACTAGGGCTGTGACTTGTTATTTGGGCTTGTTTATGGGATTAGTCCACCCATTATCTTGGTTTTATGTGCGATATAAGTAACTTTATTACCGAAAAAAAACCATGAGCTATAGGTCTTACACTTCATAAACTATAAAAAGAAAATGACAGCTTAAGTCGTCACACTTCATTTTCTCCTGATACTTAAATTGAAGGGTACAGCTTGTGCACGACACAGGCCAATATAACTAAACCAGAATTACTTTAATCTGAATCTAATCTACAGCATGAGCAATGTTCAGTTCAGATTTGAATTTACCTTTGAAAATCTAGCCCTATCTTGTAGAACAGCAACAGCTCCCCTGATGGAAGTTTGTATAAGACAGGATTCCACATCGGAACATCTTCTTGTTCATCGACGATTATCGGCGAATGCCAGAGCCCATTCTGCACCATTTTTTTTTTAAAAAATTACTTTCAATTGGCAACCTGCGCAGAGCTTTTGCTACATAAAAATTAGCAGGAAGAAAATCTTGCGATTTGGGATGTAGGCCAAGGCCAAAGGTAATAACCAAAGGTGAAGCTTAACAAGATAAAAAACGTCCACAATTTGAGATTCTGTCATTTTTGTTGCATAGGTTGAAGATAGATATAAGATTCTATATTACCTGGTATCTCTGCAGCCATATTTTAACATCCGGTGCCCCCTCTTGTGTACCTCCAAAATAAGCAACCAAAAAGTGATTTTTGTTAACCTGCAAAATGAAAAATCACCACATGTTTTACGTAAATTTTAGATGGGAGAGAATGCAAATAGAGCAAAAATGTCTCGAAGAACCTCGACAATGGTTGAAGCATGGCAGTTATTGAAAGGAGCAGATTTTGCCGGAAATGTGAATTCTTGTTCCACTGGCCCTTCAACACGATGGTCCCTTGTCAAGTTTGAGCTCTGAGCCATCATGGGTGCCGGTACACTTGCCTCGGGGGAATTACCTACTTTTCTGCACAGAGTTCTCAGCACATTCAAACAACTTGCGACCATTCAAATATCCACAAATCAATCAGCACATGTTTATTATCATCTCTCTGTGTCCAACGGATGCCTGTGGATGCTTCTATACAGGCCTATGTGAGAGCTCATAAACAACAGATCACTACACGGTCTTTCTATGCTTATCTCACACGGCAGGCAACAAACAAGCACAGATTAAACCAGTTAGATAGCATCTCCTCCAGGCACTCTTAAACAACCTGGCAAGATGCACTTGGGGATATCGAAGCGAGTAGCCAGAAAGAGCCGTCAATCTCGAACTCAAGCATCCATGCTCGGGGCTGAAGCTCCCAGAGAACCCACAATGCAGAAGATTGGAGTGATTCAAGACAAAAAGAAGCAAGAACAACGACGACAACGACCAAACCAGTGACCTCCACATTGTGACTCCGCTACCAAAACCCCATGAAACCCCCTTCGCAGAGACCCTCACGGACATCGCTGACTCCACCTTAAGTACCAGAAAACACCCACAACGCAAAGCTTGTTGGAAAGAGAAGATTACGCCATCCCCTTAACTAATTCCACGCAAAGATAATGATAAGAAGGTCATTAAAGACACTACCTAACGCAGTCGCTATTTCTGACCCTCAAAAAAAAAAAACAACAAACAAAAGACTCAGTCGCCATTGCATCAGAGACAGCGACTGTTGAAATTAGATATTGTATTCTTGGAAAGGTTCTTCCGTTAAAATTCGAGCTTCTGCTTACCAGCAGCAACGGGGGTTTGACCTTGAAGAACCAGAACAAGAAAAGCAGGTAGCACGAGCTGGATCCCGCCCTGCATCGACATTTGCAATCAAGAATTATATACTAGCCATGTGGATCGCGAGCGTGACGTGCGCAGAACTATACTTGAATAGTATATATCAAGAAACCAACCTCGTCTGGGTCACACGCTCATCTCCCAGAAAACATCTGAGTAGTTTCTTGTTTCTTGATATCGTTCGTCTCTCGAAACAAACAACCGTTGACAAGAATAGTGTTCATGTTCTTGTGTAAATTCGAGTGGGGAACAAGAGAAATCATAGACTTTTCATTCGCGGTCGTGTAATGATTTACTCAACTCTTCTTTAACCATGCGTAACTTTTAGGGTTAATACCACGAAAAACCCTAAACTGGTACACTTAGGACACATTTACTCCAAACTATTTTTTTAACCATAAAAAACCCTAAACTGATACACCCATGACAATTTTACCCCGAACATACCACAAAAAACCCCAAACTGGTACACATATGACAATTTTACCCCGAACTAATTTTTAATATTATTTTTTTATTTTTTTGAATTTTTTCTTTTCTTTTCTTTTCTTTTCTTTTTTTTCCTTCACCTTCAACCTCTGGCCAGTCGCCGGCCCGGCGACCGCCGAGGCGGCGAAGCCGGCGAGGCCGCCGCTCGCCGCGTCAGCGAGGGCCGCCCTCGCCGGCTGTCGAGCGAGGGCCGCCGCTCGCCGGATCCGGCGAGGGCGAACCTCGCCAGATCGAGCGAGGCCGCTCGCCGGATCTGCGAGGCCGCCCGCCCGACGCAGCGAGGGGCGGCCCTCGCCCGACGCAGCGAGGGTCGCGGCTGCTGACGCTGCCGAGGGTCGCCCTCGCCGACGCCGGCGAGGGTCGCCCTCGCTCGACGCCGGCGAGGGCGGCCCTCGCCGGCTTCCGCCTCTGGCCGGTCGCCGAACCGGCAACCGGCCAAAGTTTGAAAATGAAAAAAAAGAAAAGAAAAGAATAAAAAATAAATAAAAATTCGAAAAAAATAAAAAAAATAATATTAAAATTTTAATTCGGGGTAAAATTGTCACATATGTACCAGTTGGGATTTTGTGGTAAGTTCAGAGTAAAATTGTCACGCAGTGTACTGGAGTTTTGTGGTCAAAAAAATAGTTTAGTAAAATTGTCACGAGTGTACTGGGTTGGGGTTTTTATGGTCAAAAAATAGTTTGAGGTAAATGTGTCACAAGTGTACCAGTTTAGGGTTTTTCGTGGTATTAACCCTAACTTTTAATTTCAGCAACTTTGTTCTGTCCAAAAAAAAATTTCTGCAGAATGCCTTGATTTTAGACAGAATTATTAGATGACATGCGCGGTGCTCGCATGCCATCCAGCTAAAACATACTCCGGAAAACTCATAAGATCAAAGAAGGGAAATTATAGGAGACCATCATTCAACTTCGACACAGGGTCCCTTTTCCTATCATCAAGTCGAGGGTGGGACGTGATCCGCTTCTTAATTATAGTCATCAAAAGTAATTTATGGGAAAAGAAAACTGTAAGTGTCACAACTTTCGTACGACACTTACTTAAGTATCATAACTTTTTTTAGATCACCTAAGTGTCACGTTGATCTAGAGTTATTCAGCTGATTGCCAATAACGATTTGTTTGGCCTGAAAATCCAACATGGCGCTGTTTTATTATAAACAGTTCGACGTGACATGCAAGCAAAATGAAGCCAGAATGCGAAGCATGTAAATGACAGGAATAGTTGTCCAAAAAATACTAAATCTACCGTACGATGACCAATTTAGTAAAATATTTTCAATTTAACCAATTTACTCATAAAAATTTTCATAATTTGCCAATATATTCCTTCCGGATAATTTTGATCGAAAATTGCAGACGTGACATCGACTATTGTACATGGCAAGGTCGGCGCTGACGTTGATAATTTCTGTAAATTTTTTTATTTTTTTCCTTTTTTTGATCTTTTCTATTTTTTTGCACTAGATCGATAAATCAGCGATTTTCGACTAATATTGGTCGGAAGAACTTGTTTTCAAATGCATATAAGAAACTCCAATGAAAAAAAAAAGCTATGTTAGTAAAGAGTACAATTTAAAATAAGGTTAAAACTACGAAAAGCCCAAAATTGATATACATGTGACAAATTTACCCCCAATTAATTTTTTGACCACGAAAAATCCCAAATTGGTACATTTGTGATAAATTTACTCCAAACTAATATTTTGATCACAAAAAACCTAAAACCAATATATTTGTTTTACCCTTTGTTAGTTTCTGTTAAATTGAATTACTATTACGAAAAGCCACAAATTGGTACATCTGTGATAAACGGATGGTAAAACCTCAAATTGGTACACTCGCCAATTGCCACGTGTCATCCAACTCAACAATTTTATTGAAGATTTAACGGAAACTGATGGAGGGTAAATTTATCACAAGTATACGAGTTTGGGGTTTTTAGCGATCAAATAATTAGTTTGGGGTAAATGTAGGTATTTAGTCCCCTCGCGGCACCTCCCTTAGGCCTTATCCTGTTGGAACCGACTTTTAGCATCTAGCTAAAATCTTTATTCCAAACATAAGACCTTTTGACCTTGTCACATGTGTATCAGTTTGGAGTTTTTCGTAACATTAACTTTTTAAAATACTTTCTCTAGTTTAACCTTTTTTAAGTTTAAACTCAATGAGAGACATAGCACCTGATATACTTTCTCTTTATCCATATTCTAACATTTAATCTCAATATAAATAAAAAAAAATAGAAATTGAGAGACGACAGGGTATGATTGAAAATACTTTCTCTAATTTGTCCTTTGTTTTTTCAAGTTCAAACTCAATGATAAATAAAGCTTTCATCTCTTCATGTTCTTTCGAAAATTTAATTCCAATAACAGATAGAAACTGTGTACGATAAATCATTAAGCTAAAAAGCTTATTGCTCGAAAGTGCGCGACGTGGAAAGCCCCGTACCACATGTCAAGTCGCGTGACAATTCTAGAGACAAGAGTAAATGTTACATAACGGGGCATTTGAGCGAACATTCTTTCGGTTCCGGCTTTGACTAATGTCAAAAAATCGTATAAAGTCCGGCTTAGATTGGAGTCATCAAATCAAATCAAATCAAATCAAAAGAGGACCTGAACCTTCCACGGGCTTCAATCCGACATCTTATGCTAATCTAGTCATTCCCACATCGCCATAAGCTTCAGACAAAGACCTTGTTGAATGTTCCAGCTGACTCCGCCCCCGAAACAAACACGTGATGTGCATTGTTGGGTTCCGCGACAATGTGGGTGGTGTTGAAGCTGAGATCACGCTCGTGGGTCTTCGGCCACTTCGCTCGAGGGGCGTGTTATCATGCCGGTCGGGCTAAATTCGCGAGTTCTGTGCACAACGTCGTCAATTCGCCATGCAGCACCTTCGAATCCAACAGGGTGCTGAAGAACTTGTCTAAAGAAGGTCGGATCGATGAGGCGCGGAAGCTGTTCGACGAAATGCTCGACAGAGATGAGTATACGTGGAACACCATGGTTGCGGCTTACGCCACTTCGGGGAGGTTAGATGAGGCTAGAGAGCTTTTCGAGGAGACTCCGAACAAGAGTTCGGTCACTTGGTCTTCCCTCGTTTCGGGGTATTGTCGACACGGGTGTCCTGGTGAAGGCTTTAAGTTATTCTGGCGAATGCAGTTGGACGGTCAGAAGCCCACCCAGTTTAGCTTGGGCAGCGTGCTTAGAGCGTGCGCCGTGTCGGGTTATCTCCAGAGAGGCGAGCAGATTCATGGCTATGCAGTGAAAACAAATTTCGACCTTAATGATTTTGTCGTCACGGGTCTTGTTGACATGTATGCAAAGTGCAGAAGCATCTCTGAGGCAGAGTATCTCTTTGCGACGGTTCCCGAAAGGAGTAATCATGCGCTCTGGAGTGCCATGATCACCGGGTATTCTCAGAATGGTGATGCATACAGAGCAATGGAGTGTTTTAAGGAAATGAGGAAGCATGGAATTGAATTCGACGAGTACGGTTTACCTAGTGTACTGGCAACTTGTGCAGCAGTTTCAGGTGATGCTTTTGGGGCACAGGTGCATTGCTGCATCGTTAGGAGTGGCTATGGAGTCAGTGCCTTTGTTCAGAGTGCGCTGGTTGACATGTATGCGAAATGTGGAGATCTGAGCAGTGCTAAGTTGGTGATAGAGGCTACGGAGATTGATGGTGTGGTTTCTTGGAACTCAATGATTATGGGTTGCATGAGGCAGGGGTGCGAAGAGGAAGCACTATACCTTTTTAAGAAAATGCATGGAAGAGATATGAAGATTGATGATTTTACTTACACATCGGTTCTAAAGTCTCTTGCTTCCACGATGGATTTGAAACTCGCAAAGTCTGTGCACTGTCTGATCTTAAAGACGAGATTTGAGGCTTATCGAATAGTGAGCAATGCACTCATCGACATGTATGCTAAACAAAGAGAGATCACTTGCGCATGTGAGGTGTTCAAGTGTATGCTGGACAAGGACGTCATTTCATGGACTTCCCTGGTCACAGGATACGCGCACAATGGCTTCTTTGAAGAAGCTCTCAGGTTGTTCTATGGCATGACAGTTGAGGGGATTTATCCTGATGAAATGGTTGTTGCTAGTATTTTAAGTGCTTCTGCAGAATTGACAGCTCTAGAATTTGGGCAACAAGTTCATGGAATTTTTGTGAAATCAGGCCATGCTTTTTCAGCATCGGTTGGCAATTCTCTCATCTCAATGTATGCTAGATGTGGATGCATAGAAGATGCTGATCGAGTGTTCAACTCAATGCAAGTACGGGGTGTAATCACATGGACGGCTCTTATCATGGGTTATGCACGTAATGGCAAAGCAAAAGAATCTTTAGAGTCCTACAATCACATGATTGCGAGTGGAGTAAAGCCTGATTACATCTCTTTTATTGGCCTATTATTTGCATGCAGCCATGCCTGTCTTGTTCAAGAAGGTCGCATGTACTTTGAATCCATGACCAAGACTTATGGAATAAAGCCGGGCCCTGAGCACTATACTTCAATAATTGACCTCTTAGGGCGCTCTGGAAAACTTGCTGAGGCTGAAGAATTGCTTAATCAAATGTCTGTGGAACCAGATCCAACAATATGGAAGGCACTACTCGCTGCATGCCGCGTACACAAAAACTTGGAACTGGGAGAGAGGGCAGCAAGGAATCTTTTCAAATTGGAACCTATGAATTCTGTTCCTTATGTTCTCCTAGCTAATTTATATTTTGCCTCTGGTAAACTGGAAGAGGCTGCAAAAGTCTGGGGTTTGATGAAAACAAGAGGAATCAATAAAGAGCCTGGTTGTAGTTGGGTTGGGATCAATGGCCAAGTTCACACCTTTGTATCCGAAGATAGAGGGCATCCAAGAATGTCTGATATCTATTTGAAGATTGATGAAGTAATGCGATTAATCAAGAAAGCTGGTTATGTTCCAGACTTAAGTTCTGCGCTACATGATGTTGATGAAGAGGGTAAAGAGCTTGGCCTTGCTTACCACAGTGAGAAATTGGCTGTTGCCTTTGGGCTGCTTGCTATGCCCCAAGGAGGACCTATTCGAATTTATAAGAACCTTCGGGTATGTGGTGACTGTCACGTTGCCATGAGATATATATCACTAGTGTTTAGTCGCCATATAGTTCTGAGGGATTCAAATCGCTTTCATCACTTTAGGGAAGGGGTCTGTTCATGTGGAGATTATTGGTGAAAAATACAAATCCCTTAAAGCTTTTATGGTTAAACTATGCATCAGTGCATCTGAGGTCGTGGCAGAACTGAAAAGGCTTGAGGATTTTGAACTTTTGCTGTTGAATTTTGGAATTTTCCTAGCAAGTTTAAATTGCTTACTCTAGGGTGGCAATTCTACTAAGAAAAGGGTATAGGCTGATCAAAAGCTAAACGGAAGAATAATCTGGAGCAGCATTTACACTCAGTGGAGAGAGGTGCAACAGATATAGATCCGCACATGGCTTCTATAGCCTTGGAAGCTGTTGCAATCAATGTTAGTTTGTTTTCGGTCACTAAACCTGGTGATGATCAGATCTGTGGAGGAGGCACAAGACAAAAATTGAAGATGATATAGCATTGCATGATGATAAGTTGTGACCTGCTTCTTATGATTTGACCCATTGCTCAATTATTTCTTTATTCAATTAAGAAAGAATTCCCCTTTTAGGGATTGTGAACCTCATTCAATTTGCAAATTTCAGGATGCTGAACGAACTTAACTTCAATTACAGCAACAGTTGGTGGTCGAAGTGGACAAGGCAAGTAGATTTGGTGTTTTCTACTCTTGTCTTGTTGCGTAAAATGGCTTTCCTTGTTGCAAAATTGTGCTCTCGATTACATCCTATCAATGCGATCCACCTGAACTGTGCTGGTTGATTTGACCATCACGTTAACTCAATGTTTGGCAATCTTATGTTGAATCTTTACTTTAGCAGACGATATTTGCTCTGTTGAGTTTGTCGTGTGAGCTTCACTTGGACTCTAATATATATGTTTAACAATGTGAATCAAGGAAGCCTGATGTCAACCTCTCCAATCAACACTCTCATACGCTTTCTCAAAGTCAACCTTTGTGGATAGTCTTTCCACTGACTGGGGACCTAGTCCCCTCTTATTGGCCAGCTGGTACTCAATTTCTCTTCTTCCAAGTTATTATTATCTGTTGCCTTAGGAGTCACCTAACTTTTTTGGCTTGTATGACGATATCTACCATTTAAACTTTCGATGGTTGAAACCAGATAAGTGTTACATCTTGTATGTTTGTTCTTTTTATAATCTACTCCTACATTTGATTTGAGTCCTATTTGGCCTACATTGTAATACTCATTCCATTGATAAGAATGACTAGAATATGAAAGGCTTGCAATATAATGTTTTTTCTTGCCACTATTTTTCATATTTAGCTAAATTATCTTGTTTGCTGAATAATTATATGCTTAACTATGATTTACTTGGTAGTATGCTTTTGGTAACACGCATCGCAAGTATCTTAACAAATGCTGTCACTTGGCTTGCAGTTGCAGACTGCAAGGGCAGAGTGTTTGGCACGCAACAGCTCTTTTGATGCGGTCTTTCAGGTTAGTTGCCTAGCTCAACACTTATCTGTGTAGGTCTTTGGTCTCTCTCCTTATAAATTCAAATTTGTTATGCAAACTGGAAACAGATGAAATAGTCACCTTTAAGAAGGCGCTGCAAGATGACAGATATGCAAATAAGAGAAGTGAAGACTGCACACATAAGTGACCCTCCTATCTGGCTTGTCCTGCACTGGACTTTTATTCTCCTTGCTTAATCAATGCTGCACACACTATTTAAAATGTGATAATGTGGGTTTGGTAACATAGGACTTTTCTTACTTCTTTAGATGCATAATTGGAAATAAGCATTACCTCGGTAGATGCTTAATCAAAAATATGCTGGAAACTCAATTTACTTCTCATTAGTAACCAAATTTGTCAGTTCAGTAGTCATTATGGACTTCCCATCTTTTTTGTATTAAGCATATTAGTATTTTGAATATTCTGACTAAAAAAAGATATTAGTATTTTGAATATAGCAAATAAGAAAGCAAGCAACTTAATCAACCTTTGGATAAAGATATGGTGCCTCAGCTATAATTCGAAATCCCAATTCCAATATTGAGAGGTTTCGGAAGATGACTCATTCTGTAACATGTATATGTTGGTGAGCTAATGAGCATAGCAGACAATTGAGTATGAACTAGGAAACCTTCTCAAATTAGGAAATCAACTAGAACTAGGAAATCTACTCAAATTAGGAAACCTACTTAAACTAAGAAATATACTCGAATTAGGAAACCGACTTAAATTGAGAAACTACTTAAACAAGGAAACATTCCTCCAGCCTTGACCCAGCCGATTTGGCCTTGGTTCTTTAACTTCTAAAAACTAGGCTTGAGTTGGGGTTATGAGTTGTTTGCCTTCAATGGAATTTCCTAGCTTTGATGCTCCCGTGTCATGGGTGCAACTTCAAATCAAGCTTTAAATAAAGATATGGTGTCACAGCTGTAATTCCAATTTTGATTTCCAAAATTGGGAGATTTTAGAAGATGACTCACGCTGTAACATGTATATGTTGGTAATCTAATAAATGCAGTAGACAAATTGAGTAATCTAACATCTCCAATAAAGCAAGTAATGGCTTTTTGGGTAAATATTCATTAGATAGTTTTCCCAAAGTTTTTGAAACATATTCTTGCTTGACGGAAATTATATATTAAGGAAGCAGCCTTCGTGAGTATGCGATATATTCAATTTGAGAGATAAACAATACACAGAGGGCATGGAGACTAGGGTTTTGATGGTTGTATGCATACTCTTAGGCCTTGTGTCTGAAGGTGTAGCAGCACCAGGGAATGCAACTTTCTATGTACCTCATAAGCGTAAGAACTTTTCTTTGCATTGACTGTACTAAGAATGTTGATATACGTTCTTATATCTGGGTTCCCTGCATTGTGATCTGACCAAAAGATGTTGGTATACATTTTGTGTGGCATTTTTTATGCCATTTTGTTTGTTTTCCCATCTCATTCCTTTTCATGTCATTTTCTTTGCACAATCCCAAGCTAAATTCCTAGTTCACCTTTTTCTTTTTTTGGGAAATTATAGCTTCGGATTGCCATGGAGTGAAGGAACCAGGGCCGATGGTTGTCGCAGCTAGCAACCCCATCTGGAATAATGGGGCCATATGTGGGAAAAAGTTCAAGGTGACATGCATAGGCCCTCCGAGTACTGGTAAGAAATTCCCTTGCAAGGGCTCGGTGATCGTGACTGTCGTGGATCGATGCGCTTCGCCACAATGCCACACCACTTTCAAGCTCTCAAGGCCGGCCTTTGACAAGATCGTTGACCCTACGCTGGTTATGATCGCGATTGATTATGAACCGTAAGTCTTTATTTGGTCCGCCGTCTCCCTTCATCTATCTAAGGATCCACCAAGACTTTGTTTCATGAACTTACTCACGGATGAATTCGCAGGGCTTAAAGGCAAGTTGGGATTTATTCTTTTGCGTGGGAAGGATGATGGACTGATGGCAACTTAATTCCTTTGGACAATAAGATTGAGATGTTTTCGTTTCTTTGCTCTCTCTCTCTCTCTCTCTCTCTCTCTCTCTCTCTCTCTCTCTCTCTCTCTCTCTCTCTCTCTCTCTCTCTCTCTCTCTCTCTCTCTCTCTCTCTCTCTCTCTCTCTCTCTCTCTCTCTCTCTCTCTCTCTCTCTCTCTCTCTCTCTCTCTCTCTCTCTCTCTCTCTCTCTCTCTCTCTCTCTCTCTCTCAGGGTGTGTGTACCAAGTTTTGAAAAAGGAATATCTTATTATTTGTGTTATTGTTCGAAACAAACGCGGAAAAACAAATACAGAACACAAGGATTTACGTGGTTCGATCACAAGGTGATCTACGTCCACGGGCGAGGCAAAACAAGATTCCACTATAATCAAAGAGAGTATAGTTTTCAGAAATCGAAAAAACAACTTAACAAAACCTCACGGCTCACAAATCTCTCTTAATCAATGAAAAAACCTAGTCGTAGTATAAATAGGGCTCTCCAAAAAATTTTCTCGGGGGCGTAGCCCCCGAAACATTTGTTCGCTTACTCCAGCTTAGGCGAACCGTTATAAAGATTTGTTCGCTTGCTCCAGGTTGGGCCTATCGGCCTAATCCTCCGCATCGCGAACTAAATCTCAATTTTTTCTCTATTTTTGGGTCACACAAAAAATATGTCAGGTCGGATGATGAACCTGACCGAGTACATAAAATTCAAGACATATTTACCGGTTATATTTTTAAAGAGCACAGGATGCCAATTTGGCAATTGACGGTATATTAATGACCATATCAGCGTCTCCTTTTCCTTTTGTGATAGAATGACCAATTCGAACGCATATAGTTTAAGGATTTAATTGGCAAAAAAAAAAAAAAGTCGGGACCTGATTGTGAAATGAAGTGGACTTAACAATCAAGAGGGGGTGAATTGATTAACGCAGGATTTTGAAACATTTTTTGGGCAAAACAATGCATAGAGGATGACTAGTCTTCGTAGATAAAATATGATATGCAGTGCAAATATCTTCAATCAACGAAAATCTACTTAAACAAAGATACCTACTCATATTAGGAAATCTAATTGAATTGGGAAACTACTTAAAAGTAGGAAACATCCCTCCAACCTAGATTCAGCTGAATCAGTCCTAGTTTTTCCATCTCGAACACCTTTTTGCCGTTGGAGCCATTGGATCATGTCGTGTTGCTTGCACAAATATCAAATGGGCTTGGTTGATTGACGAGGCTTGGGTTGGGCTTGCGAGTTGTCCGTCTTCGATGGAATTTCCCAAGCTCTGGTGCTCCCGCAGCATCACATGCAGCTCCAAATCAAACTTTGGATAAAGATATGGTGTCACAGCTGTAACTCGATACCCGATTTCCAAAATCGGGAGGTTCTGCATAATGGCTCATGCTGTAACATGCCCATGTTGGTAAGCTCAATGAACACAGTAGACAACTGAGTAACCAAACACCTCCAGTAAAGCATGTAATGGCTGTTTGGGGTAATACTCATTAGACAGTTCTCCAGAAGCTTTTGAAACACCTTCTTGCACTCGATGGGAATCATATATTAAGGAGCAGCCTTCGTGGGAAGTGTGTGATGCATTCAACTTGAGAGATAACCAGTACATGAAAGGGCATGGAGACGAGGGTTTTGATGGCTGTATGCATACTCTTCTGCCTTGTGTCTGCAGGTGTCGCAGCACCGGGGACTGCGACTTTCTATGAACCCCTCATAAGCGTAAGAACTTCCCTTTGCATTGACTGTAACTAAAGGTGCTGGTATACGTTCTGATAGCTGGGTTCTTTGCATTCTGATCTGATCAAAAGATGAAACTTTCCATCTCATTCCTTTTCGTGTTGTCTTCTACGAAAATGGAACGCTGCACAATCTTAAGCTGAATTCTTGATTCACCTCCGTTGTCTTTTTTGGGGGGGAAATTATAGCTTCGGATTGCCCTGGAGTGAAGGAACCCGGGCCAATGGTCGCAGCAGCTAGCGATTCCATCTGGAATGATGGCGCCCTATGTGGGAAGAAGTTCAACGTGACGTGCCTCGGCCGTCCGAGCACCGGCGAGAAGTTTCCATGCAAGGGCTCGGTGATTGTGACCGTCGTGGATCGATGCGCTTCGCCGCGATGTGAGAACACATTGGAGCTCTCTAGGGCGGCCGTCGACAAGATCGTCGACCCTACGCTGGTCAAGATTATCATTGATTACAAAAGCGTGACTTTTTCAGTCTCCCTTTGCCTATCCTAGTGATCTTCTGAGATTTTTGTTTTCCACGAACTTACTCGGGGATGAATTTGCAGGGTTTAAAGCAAGTCGGAGGGTATTCTTTTGCGTGGGAAGGATGATGGAGTGATGGCAACTTATCATTCCTTTGGACTTCAAAGATTAGATGTTTTATTTCTTTTGCTTAGGTCATTGATTTTTTATTGAAAAATGTTCTCATTTTGATTCTACTTTCAAAAAAACTCTCTCTCTCTCTCTCTCTCTCTCTCTCTCTCTCTCTCTCTCTCTCTCTCTAATTGCAAAATATTGAATGTATATCACATGTTGCAAAATAATATGATTGCAAGTTAATCCTTCACTATCTTGGGTAAATTGAGCTAATCCATCGCCTAGACAAGGGGATCTCATGCTTTTGTAGATATATGTTGTTTTGCTTTATTTTCTTGAAGGGTCGCGCTTTTTCTACTTATCTTTTAGCTTAGACTCTCCTTTATTTTTGTAATTTGGCGACAGTATCTCTCGTGGAGCCTACCACTTCTTGTACAGCTTTCCAAAAGTAATTTTTTTTTTATTATTTGATCAACTTTTTTTATTTTGTTTCTTCTTTTATTTTTTGCGGGTCCCACTTTCCTTCTTCTTTCATTCTTTCCACGCTTTTGACGTCTCAAATCTTCGCTCTTGCAAATTGTCTACGCCTCCCACTCATTTTTCTTCTTCTTCTTCATCTTCTTCTTCTTCCATACATCCCGTCGTCCTCTGTTTTTTATCTTTTCTATCTATGATGCCAACCCCGTCATCCTCTATACTTTCAATCATAAAAAGAGCATTGATTTTCTCTACTAGAAAATAGGGAAAACAGCATTAGAGAAAAAACAATAACCCAATAAAAACATGATTTTCAATTCTAATAAGAATTGAAAATCAACTACAAAATTGATTAATTCTAATCAATCACTTTCGTAAAATTAGTTTTGTTGAAAAGAAAATTTTCTAAGAAACCTAATTCTTTTTGCGTTGTTAAGTAAAATCTAGAAAAATTTTAACATAAACACTTCTTTAACAAGATCACTTATTTATAAATTTCACTTTTGTTGTGTGTATCACCGTTACTTGTTTACTCGACAAAACTTATTTCTACGGAAGTAAAATCCAAAAATAAAAAGGAAAACATTGTGCCTTTAATATATATACGGATTACCCACCATAAACAAAAAAAAAAACATGAATTGCTTAATTATGGTAACTATATCCTAAATAGAAAATGAAAATAAAATAAAATAAAATAAAGAAAGTAAATTGATTTGGGGCCATACTTTAAATTGCAATTGAATCATTGAGGATAATTTTGTCTTTCCATTGGAAAATGGAGTAGATTAGCCGTATAAGGGATGGAAATGCCTTTTCTTGTATATGCTTTTTGTGTGAAAAACATCAAATATTTCCCCAAGTATTGCTAGGGTAACTGCAGTGGAAGTCCTAAATATTTAATAGTCATTTTGAGTTCAAAACTCATAATTATGATTAAATGAGTTCTAAGATCACATTCGTATGTTAACAATTGTCGATGCTAAAATAAGCCACGTCAGATTGGCCATGAGTTAAGGATTTGATTGCACATTTTTTGTAAGCAGTTAGGTCTCGATTAAGCAAAATTAGATATCAGACTCAATTAATCGACGATTGAAACATTATAGATCTTTCATTGTACTTACCCAAAACATTGCTCATAGCATATAGTGTAATGTTGTTGACCACGTACGTGGGCCAAGTCCAAATAGATTTGATCTTAAAAAGGTCAGATGTTAATTTAAATTCTTAGGAAAAGTACCCAATTAGTCCTAAATCAATTGTATGAATGTCAGCCCAATTTTTTCAATTTAATCCTAAATCTTTGCGCGAAATTTTAATATAATTATTTAGGCAATTTTTTTTCGAAAATTGTTGATATGGTGGCATAGTCAACACTAGTTAGGCAAATGCGATTCAATTATCGTCGGTTATCGTACTTGACACATCACATTGTCAACAATTTCTGGTAAAAATTGATCAGAAGGACTGTAACGGAATTTTGAGCAAAATTTAGGATTAAATTGGTAAAATTCAAAGTTTTATAACTGTTAATATGTTTATAATTGATTGAACAATTTCTACTCACTTCGCTATTCCAAAACTATATAACACTAAAGGGAATACTTATATGAAGTTGCTAATTATCTATTGGCGGTAATTATAAGCGAAACCCACATCGCTTAGCAACACAAAATAATGCATAGAAAGATATTGAAATTATTTTTTGTTCGAAAGTGACTCTTTAATATTGTGGACTCCACCTTACTCAAAACGCTCAATAACGTACATCCGTCGATCTGATTATTTATATATATGTATGTATATACATATGTATGCATTGAATTAATAAAACAAGAAGAAACATAAAAATATTTTCTGACCTTATAACCAATTATTCAGGCAACAGAAAAATTCAAGGCTTTGTTCTAACAGAAGAAATTTTTTTCGCTGCTATTGTAGATATGTAATTCCTTAAAGTTTGTAAAACATTTCAATTACTGAGAATTTCGCTCCTCTCTCTGTCTCTCTCTCAAGTCCACCGGTCGCCGGCCGGCCGCATACCAATGCCTATCCGGCGGCTGCTCCGCCGCAAACCGCCGAGCAACCGCTCCCTTCCCGGACGAGATCACCTCCACCGGCCAAACCCACGTCTCATCCACGGCGTCTCCACCCTCCAACCCTCCGAGCTCGCCGCCGCCGCCCCCACCTCGGAGCAGTCGCGGTCGGCTCCGTCGACCTCCATGCCGGACTCTCTCCTGGCGGAGAAGATCCTCTTCAACCTGAAGCAAGGTAACGTCAGGGACCCTCGAAGCTACTTCTCCCGCTTGAGCCCTCCGGCCGTCGTCGAGGTGCTCCGGCGGTACCGCGACGACCTTCGCGCGGCCCTGAAGTTCGTCGACTTGGTTTCGTCTAACTGCCCCGGTTTCAAGCACTCGCCCGAGTCCTTGAGCGCCATGGTCCACGTGTTGGTCCGCGGCCGGAGGTCATCGGAAGCGCAGGGTTTGATTCTCAGGATGGTCAGGAAGAGCGGCGTCTCGCGTGCGGAGATTGTGGATTCTTTGATTGATGCTTGTCGTGATGGCGGGTCGAGTTGTGCGGTGTTTAGCTTGTTGATCAGGACTTACGTGCAAGCTAGGAAGTTGAGGGAAGGCGCCGAGGCTTTTCGGTTGTCGGGTAGTAAAGGGATTCGTGTTCTTATCGGTGCTTGTAATGGTCTCCTTGGCGGGCTCGTGAAGGCGGGGTGGGTCGATTTGGCGTGGGAAGTTTACGGCGAAGTCGTTAGGAGCGGTGTTCAAGTGGATGTCTACACTCTTAACATAATGGTCAATGCATTGTGTAAAGATCGTAAGATGAATGAGGTCAAATCATTTTTACTGGACTTGGAGGAGAAGGGTGTTTTTCCAGATATTGTTACTTATAATACTCTGATTAATGCTCATTGTAGGGAGGGACTAGTGGATGAAGCTTTCGGGTTGGTGAATTTAATGTCGGAGAAGGGCATGAAACCAAGCCTATACACCTATAATGCCCTTATCAATGGATTGTGTAGAAATGGAGAATACACCAGAGCTAGAGAAATGCTGGATGAGATGTCAGAAAAAGGTGTGAGCCCCGACAATGCCAGTTTTAATACCCTGCTCGTTGAGATTGGTAGAAAAGGTAATGCTGTGGAGGCTGAAAAGATTTTCGAAGAGATGTCACTGCGAGGTGTGGTTCCTGATTTGGTTAGCTATAGTTCGATCATTGGGGTGCTTTTGAGATGTCACAATCTTGACCGGGCTTTAATGTACTTTAGGCGCATGAAAAGTGCTGGGTTGGTGCCGGATGGTGTAATTTATACCATCCTCATTGATTGGTACTGTAAAAATGGCTTAGTCTCAGAGGCTTTGAGGTTGCGGGATGAAATGCTGGAGCAAGGCTGCTTCGTGGATGTAGTTACATTTAACACTATATTGAATGGTTTGTGCAAGGACAAGATGCTTGTGGAGGCAGATCAGCTCTTTCGCGAGATGGATGAAAGGGGTGTGTTTCCTGATTTTTGTACATTCACTACACTAATTAATGGGCACTGTAAGGATGGGAATATGAACAAAGCAATGAGCTTGTTCAAGACAATGTCTCAAAGAAACCTAAAACCTGACATTGTGGCATACAATACACTGATTGATGGTTTCTGCAAGGCGGGTGAAATGGAGAAGGCTTATCAAATATGGGACGATATGATCAACAGTGGCATAAGTCCAAACCACATTTCATACAGCATTCTGATAAATGGTTTCTGTAGCACAGGAGCTGTTGCTGAGGCTTTTAGGTTGTGGGATGAGATGGTTAAGAGGGGTATTCGACCTAGTCTAATTGGTTGCAACACTATATTAAAAGGTTTTTGCCGGTCTGGAGATGTATCCAAGGCAGATGAGTTCTTCAGCAAAATGGTTGCTAAAGGAATTCTTCCAGATAGCATTACTTACAACACTTTGATCAATGGATTTGTGAGAATAGAGGACATGGATAAAGCTGCTGAACTGGTTAATAAAATGGAGAACATGGGACTGATGCCCGACGTATATACGTACAATGTCATTTTGGGTGGTTTCTGTAGGCAAGGTAGGATGCAAGAAGCTGAGCTGGTATTGAGAAGGATGATTAGTAGAGGTGTGAATCCGGATAGAGCTACATATTCAGCGTTGATAAATGGCCATGTTAGCAACGATGACTTGAAGGAAGCATTTCGGTTCCATGATGAAATGCTGCAGAAGGGATTTGTACCGGATGATAAATTCTAGACCTCATTCAGGTGATTTTGATGCATGTCATCATATGTGGATGGTGCATATATTTTTTGTCTGTTTGTCAACGAGTTCCTTATGGAACATTCATTTTCCTGCTTATTGGTATCTGCTATGTTTTCCCCAATGCACTAAGGGTATTATTTTGTTATGGTCTCTGGGGAAGGCATAATAATCTTCTCCTTTTGTTTTTCTGGTGCATCTGAAGTTTGTTTTGTGAATAGATCAAATTTTGCAAAATTGTTATATCCTCCGAGATCTGTTTGTTTTTTCCCCTGGAATTTGAATTTGGATGAGAAGTTTGCTGCCAGTTTTAGCTATTCTGGCTTTATGGTGCTTGTCACCTTCTGTGCTTCCTATTATGTTAAATAAGTTTTTGTGCAAGTATATGTATCTTTATATATTCAATCAAATGCATCAATCATATTATGACGATTTTCCAATTTCACATGCCTTTGTTGCAGGGGACTGTCAAGAACGACCTTTTGGGTTATTATGCTTGAGGTATGCTTGACTACTTGGAGCTATTCACTTTCGCTCAAGTCATGAGATTGTTCTTAAGAATGGTGATTTCCAAAATTTATTTCATTCCCTTCTTTGCTGCAATCTGGCTGCAAACAATTAGCTCTTTTGTTTTTGCCCCCACTTTGACTTTGCAAAGTTTACATAGCATACTCAGTCAATTTATTTCACTGCATTTGCTCCATATTTTGGTTATTTCAGTAGGTACATCCTAAGACCAATCAACCAAAGTGAAAATTAATCTTCCACGTTATCTTATCTATGCAGGAAATCAGATTCCTCCATGGATGGAAGTGTCGGTCTAGGAACAAAATGACAGGTTGGAGCATTGCAAGTAGCATGCTAGTTATGTGTTCTTGCTACTTTTGTGACTGAATTATACAACACGGGTGTGACGAGTTTCATTAAATAGATTGGCCAATTGCGGGAGCTGTTCTATTATGTGGAAAAAAATAATGGTTCTGCAAACCTTCTGATTTTAACTGAGTATCACATGTTCTTTTTTGGCCAAACTTAGTTTCACAGTATAAATTACATAATGTTCGGTTATGTCAAAAAGTTTTTGATTTTTTTATCTGTTTTATGCTCATCCTGAACGTCCCTTCAACAGGTCTTTCCTTTTGCTTCCCTACATCTAAAAGTTATTAAGCTGCAGTCTATTTGGTATCTAGATTGAATTATCTGTCATAGTTGATGGAACAGATATTATGGTTTCATAATTCTCTATCTCTGGGTCGATTTGTTTCCACTTACTTATTTTCTTCTTGTAATTGTTTTTCCTGTTTTTCTTTTTTACTTTCTTGTTTCTTGGATACAAATAATCCTTGGATTTAAAATCAGCTGCTAGATTCCCACTTTGTGCATAATGTAGACGAGTTCTGACATGGTCATTAAGTGAAATTCCTGCAAACCAATTAATCCTGGTAAACGCTATCTGAAATGTATATGAGCCATCAGAGGATCCACTGATTGAGCATGGTCTTGAGATTGTGAATTCGGCAAAAGAACAAGCTTCTCCTAGTGGTGTAAGATTAGTGGCTGATACTTTGTGGTCCGAAATCTTTCCCAAAACCCAAAGATGTTGGCATCCGATAGGTTGCTTGGTGGGAAATAGTAACTTCCATACTTTTTGCTGTTTAATTCAATTACTTCTAGTCTTCTCGGTTGGACACAGCCCCTATACAGGAATTTTTCTCTGGTTGTCACACTGCCTTTTCAAATATGCAGAAACTACTTTAGGTTGTACACGAGGCTCTACCAAAGATGTCTTTGGTTGTTCCAGACTTCAGTTACTTACCTGATGTAAGGGTACCTGGTGAAAAAGCTCCTAATGTATCAAGGTACATGCAATCTCTACTGTGTGTGTGATGCTGCTCATGCCTTTCTATTCTATTATAAGCTATCTGTGGACTGTCTTCATGCTCAGAGTTAATGAACCATCTATACATGCCATGCATCAATTGTAAGAGCACTAGCAAGTGACTATCTTCATTTGTCGCACAGATATTACATTCAGATGCTCCTTTAGTTGATTCTCGTGTTGCATAGTTTGACCATTGTGCTTCCGCATGTAATTTGTCCATGAATTCTACTGATGATGTTCTCCTAAGTTCTCATAGGCTTCTGCTTCAATATTTCTTATGATGGAATCCCACCGGGGACAAATTGGTCAGATTTGTTCAAGTTCTGTGAAGGATGCAGTACATCAGAAAAAAAGTACTAAATGAGACTGTAAGAAGAAATGCTATATAGTAGGTCAAAAAATTGAGAGATGCTATGAATTTTTACGGGACTGCAATCGAAGAGTTTACTAAGGATATTCAGAAGAAATTCTAAACTGAACTGCTGAAAAGATGGTTATACTGATCTGTCAATCCAATTAAACCCATGGCAGACTGCAGACTGTGTTTTGGGTCCATGTGGCCTGTCCTCTGATGTAGTAATTGGAAGCCACAAATTTGTGTTGCTCTTTTCACATGGTTTTTTTCAGTCCCGTTGGATTTATATTTTTATGAACAGCACGGAATATATAGTTTGACCATCTTTGGTGTTTGTTCTGCAGAAGGTCGGGAGGAGCTCAGATCGTGGGTTTGATGCAACTTTAAGAAGCCTTATGAGTGACTTCTTTTGCGGGCCAAAGCCTAATGGTCATGGCAGAACAAAGCTGTGCAATCCGGTAAAAGATCTGTGGTAATTTCGAGACTTAATATTTGTATTCATTTGTCATAGGATGCCCTGGATGGTCATGGTCGATGTTGTGCAATTTATATTGATCCTCGAAGATACAACTGTCCTCAGTACATAAGATCATACGTGCTACTTATTAGTTCTTCAAGCTATTGTTAATCTTCAGTAGTCCGGGTCGATGTTGTATGACATTGCTTTTATTTTGCTTTGAATGTTTTCACATAGTGAAGTAAAGGGGTTATGAGTCGATCGGCCTTGGGTCTCTGGCATCCCCTCTTTGGTAATAACCTTTCCATAGTTGTAGAACAAACGCTTTGACTAAGCCAAAAGAGAAACAGAGCAATTGAGTCGCTTTGGCACATGTAAAATATTTGTGAGAATGTGATAGAGAAGAGTTACATGAGCAAAAAGATGGACACAACCACACCAACTTCTGAAGCCACCTATTCCTAGTTACATGCCGATAATCCAATCAACCAATCGACTAATTCAAACATTTCCGCTACGGAAAAGGGAATAACAAATGAGTATAACAGGAGGTAATCTAATTCCATGCAAGGTATTAGAAAGGTTGGCTGCTTAACCATCCTTCGGAGTCGACGAAACTCGTGCTAGTCAACTGATTGATTGTCGACGGGTTCAGCTTCTTCTCCCAACTCACCCGGAGAGAAGTATCCGACCTGGGTCCATACCACCCATATTCTGAAAACGTCAATTGGGACCCGATCCATTTTGATCAAAGGAAAGAAAAAAGCAACCTTCAATACAACTATAATAAAGCCTTTGAAAACAAATCTTGAGATAAAACACCCTTTTTAGAGAAGACGACTCTCGCGTAGGCTCTCCACGCCCTTCACAACAAGGCCGAGCTGGAGCTGAACACATTTCACTCCTTCAACACGAACCCGCTTGCATCGTCTGGGTTGCTCCTTCCTTGCGCTGTGATGAATCCTGTCACCCCAGCCCCTAGGGCTCCTCCGAGCACCGATATTGTAGTATTCTATGGAAAGAAAAGCATGACGATAAAAAGTATTCTAAGTTCGGGAAATTACAAATATAATGATATGCGTGTCCACATGAATCTGCACTTACGTTCTGTACAAATTTTTATCATATGTTGGAAACTTAGATAAGGGCATATTTTCATTAATGAAATCATGTTATGATATTACAACACAGCCATAGTATTAGAATTGGAAATTAAAAATTGCCCTCCCCCTTCTTTTCAAATTTTGATCTTCAGTTTCTTTCCAAAAGTTGGTGCAACAGTGGATTTAAAGAAGTCTTACTGAAAAAGAAAAAAATTATTCGAAAGATACCCGTGAATCCCTTTCTTGATATAGATGCAAACCCAGTTCCTATCATTCGAGGGAACGGAATCGATGGCGGACTGTATGGTGGTGAAGTTGCCGAGCCGCCCTGACGGGTCGACGAAGATTGTCCGGTAAGGCGCGATGTTCCCGCTGATCTGCTGGAGCCAATCACTATCATCCGCTAGTCCCTCCGTGTATCTTGCGTGGAGGAGAAGAATAGTCCAACCGCATAGGTTTTGCAGGAGAAACGATTTGACCAATCTTGAAGAAGCCATGAGAGTACAGTTAAAGAGAGAAGATGAAACAGACAGAGACTTAATATCACCAACTGGAGGTTGCATGCTCAATGAAGATGGTGGATTTGCATATATAGATCTCGGGACTTATTGGATGTTTGGCGGGAATTAAAACTCTATGACAGATGGGTGATCAAAGTTGGACTCTTGAATGGTGAACGGTCCATTGTGTTCAAATTGTAGTGTGTTCGTGATTGTAAAGCCGCATACTCTAATCACAATCTGGTGTATGTCAACTATATATGCATACAAGACTATATGTTGGTTTGACTAAGGGGGCCTTTCGTGTGAAAATTGGCTGACCATTGATATGTGTGGGAGTTATTCAAAATATGGTCAATTCAGGGTTGCTGTTAGGTCGGATTGATGATCGTGAATAACCCCTAAATCAACAGACAAAAAAGGAAAAATTTAAGAGAAAAGACACCCTAAGATGTTGGAAAACTAACGGAATGATTGGTCTGCATCGACTAGATTGAGCAACATTAAGTTGTCTTAGTTCTAAAGGGGAAACTTGACAGAATAATATCAAAATACTGCATTGAACGTCCACAAAATACTAATGAACTACTTTTTTTGGGCCAAAAATTGAAAAATTCCCTTCCCTTTGACGAAATGTATGACTATCATTTTATTCGTGCGTCAACATTAACATATCTTGCCTTCACTATCTCTGTGTCTAGATCTTCATCAGTAGGGGAACATTAAGATTGCTCCCATAAGCGAGGGTTTATCGCAGACCACATGTACATCTGTGTGTATGTGCGTGCGCGTTGCCAGAACTTCGTACTACTTATGAATCTATAGATTTGGTTGTCTGGTTGGACACACGAATGGTGATTGTTGGTCCATGTTAATTGATATGTGACACTATAACCTTGCTCTAATGGAGTTGGAGGATGACTCTGGGGATAATGTAAACATTAGTTGTATAGTGCCTTTTCTTAAGTGGGGTTTGTATGGCTCTTGAAATGACCCAAATTGTAGATATGATTGAACTTTTCTATGCCGCACTTATCTGACTAGTTATTAGGCTACAAGGATGCTGAGAATGGCTCGAGGTAGCAATTGATTGATTATGTATAGGCTCGTGTTGATTGTTGCGAGGGCAATTGTTGCTCTTTAAATTAGAAGTGAAGTGTTGAGTGGTGGGGTTGGTAGCTTGCGAACTAAGGGATGGTGTCCTTCATTACACAAACTGCACGTGACCATATATATAATTGCAGTTTGGTGGGCAATATAAAGTAGCCCTTTTCGAAATAGATAATCTCATCATAATGAATCAATGGTATTAGCTTCTTTCTACAAAAGATGGAAAATTTACTAAAGTCAACCTGCCACTATGAAAAGAATAAAGTTATAGACACTAAATTTCTTATCCTTATAATGAGAATATATTGATCATATAATGTGGTGAGGTTATGATTATTAGATGTTTAAACATGGGTCTCTCTCTTTTTTTTTCTTTTGACAAGTATTCAAAGTGTGTCGCGTCAATAAGAACAAAATATTCAAGTTGGTTGGCCTTGGGCTTCTCTTACAGCAAAATCTAACTCAAAGGATGAGACTTTCTCTTATACTTATAAACTGATCACCAATCCCTTTCACAACCAATGTGGGATAAACCCCAACAATATTCTATCTGAGCGTTCCTACTCAATACATCAAGTGAGAAAACTTGTGCCCTCAAGTTTCCGAAGACATCGCCACCTCTTTTTGCCGGAGGAAGAGGACGATTCGGGTTTTCTCAAGGAGATTCACTAATGTTTCTCCTTCAAAGCAGATAGAAGGTCTCTCAATCGAGAGCTGCAGAGCATTCCAAACATCAGACTCTGAGGTCTTCGAAGAAACGTTCTAAAGTGCCGAGGTTTTTAGACGGTACAAGTTTTGCATAACGAAACTGTGCAATCAAGTAAGAAATCTGCAGTAATTTTGAGACTAATGATTTGTTTTTATTGGTAATAGGATGTCCTGGACAATCTGTGGTCGATGTTGTGCTCCTTATATCGATTCTCGAAGATACAACTGCCCTCGATACAAAAATCATAAGTTCATTTTCAGCTCTTCTAGCTATTGTTAATCTTCAGTAATCGGGGACGATGTCGTATGACATTGCTTTTATTTTGTTTTGAATCTTCCTAAGTGAAATGATCACATAGTGAAGTAAACGGGTTACTACTCAGTAAGCCTCGGTTCAATGACATTCCTTCTTTGGGATACCGTTTTCTTGGTTTCAGAACAAGTGCTTTGACTCAGCTAAAAGAGGAACAGAACCAGAGTCACTTTGGCACATAGAAATGGCTAAAAGAATGGGATGAACAGAGAGATAAATACACAAAAAGAACGACGCAACTACAGCAACTTCTGAACCACCTATTCCTACTTACAGGCCAATAATCCAATCAACTAATTCACACATTTCCGCGATGGAAAAGGGAATAAGAATTGAGTATAATAGCAGGTAATCCAAATCCATGCAGTGTATCAGAAAGGTTGACTGCTTAGCCATCCTTCGGAGTCAACGAAACTCGTGCCGGTCAACTGGTTGATCATCGCCGCGTTCAACTTCTTCTCCCAACTCACCCGGAGAGAAGTATCCGACCCGGATCCGTAGCACCCGTATTCTGAAAAGCTCAATTGGGACCTGATCAAAGGAAAAAAAAAAGCAACCTTCAATATTACTATTATTAGCCTTTGAAAAGTAACAAATCTTGAGATAAAACACCCTTTTTACAGAATGGAAAGTTAGCTAGTTATTGCTTTGTTTCTAATTAATTAGAGGGTAATAGTAAACCTAAAAGCGAAACTAAAATAGGGACGAAGATAAATTCCAAATTGATGTCAACAAGGTCTCACTATACTAAAATAGGAAAAAGTAAATGTACAAGTACTAATATCTGCACAAGTAATCTCGACAAAAATGGGGAGCGAAAAAATTACTTGCTTTGGCCCGCTATGTCCATGAGTCTAAATTAAAATTCGCTAATTTTTCCAGGTCTCGGTCGATTGGGATGTTTGTTTTGGCTTATAAAAAGCAAAAACGAATTTTTATTTTATTTTCCCACCAAAATCTAAAATATTATTTGAACTTTAAAAATATTAAGGGCAAATTTTTTATGTAAACCTACTAGTCAATGCTAATATACATTGTAACAATCCGAAGCATTCAAGAATCATGATCAATATGCGCTTTAGGTAATTTTCCAAGATGGATCAGCTAAAAGAGCATGGTGGATAGAAAACGCACTCTTGTCCGGCAAAATTCCATGCGTCCCAGCCGCGAGGATTCACGACGTCGGTGAAATTGGAGCGATAGAAGACGACTCTTGCGTAGGCTCTCCACGCCCTTCCCAACAAGGCCGAGCCGGAGCCGAACACATTGCACTCCTTGAACACGAACCCGCTTGCATCGTCTGGGTTGCTCCTTCCTTGCGCTGTGATGAATCCCGTCACTCCAGTCCCTAGGGCTCCTCCAAGCACTGATATTGCACAATTCTACAAAATGGAATGCATGACGATCAACAAATTACGAAAAACATTGCCAATATTCACCTATTTAAAAACCCTTCGGTGCTTTACGCTGAACAAAAGTCAAATTGTGAAAGCAACAAGATTTACCAAACGCTAAGAAGTTGAACAAATAGAAGTTACTCGAAATGTTTATCACTCAACTAAATACAAGATGGCGGGATTGGCAAAAAGATGAAATCAAAGAATCTTGACAGAATTTCTTAATATACATTCACTGCAATATAGGGTTGCTTCACAGAAAGTCAATTACCTCGTAAATGGACTGCCCACCACCGAAGATAAAATCGACGGCGCCTTGGACAGTGCAGCGCTTGAAATAATGTCGTCCTTGGTCGTCCCACAACGTATCTTGCAAACCATAGAAACCACACCTGTGGAACACATTCTTGTCCCCTGAAACCCTAGCCGCGACTGCTGGAACCCTAGGAATTTTCTTATTTACCGGATTGTTATAAGAATTCTGCGACCAATAGTTAAAGAAATAAGTTAGCATATAGTTCAATTTTTATTAAGTCAATATGCGATATGTGTGAGAACTCTGTTGGAAAAACCGACTCTTAAGACTCTAGTGATACCCTGTCAATTTCGTCAAAAAATCTTTCTTTTGCAAGATGAGTAATTTGTTGGATTGTCTTACCCTAAAACTGATGCTTTTAGCGACGATGTTATCGGCCAGAGATGTGAAAGTCGGGCTCTGCACAATGCTCTCGTGGTCGTCCCACACGACCTCGGTTGTCTTCTTCGCTTGTCCTTTGAGGATGATGTATGGCTTGTCCTCCGGTATTTTCACCTTCTCCCTGCATTTCAACATGAGGCACTTCTCATCTCATGTTCAACCTTTGTAAAGAACTTTCAGTTTTTCTTCTTCATATCATTAAAAAAATTGAACGTTGCTACATTTAATGGGACAAACTTTATCAAAGAATAAATTCTCAAGTTTCCTTGTTTTTTCCGTTGAATATTTGATACATGCAGAGATAACATATAAGAATTAAGGATTTCCCTTCCCCTACTTTTCCAGTTTTGATCTTCAGTTTCTCTCCAAAAGTTTGAGCAGAAGTGAATTTAACGAAGTCTTAGTGAAGAAAGAGAGAGAAATTATTCGAAGCATACCTGTATATCCCTTTCTTGATATAGATGCAAACTCAGTTCGTATTATTTGAGGGAACAGAATCGATGGCAGACTGTATGGTGGTGAAGTTGCCGAGCCACCCCGAAGGGTCGACGGAGATTGTCCGGTAAGGCGCCACGTTCCCGCTGATCCGTCGGAGCCAATCACTATCGTCCGCTAGCCCCTCCGTGGATTTTGCATGGAGAAGAAGAATAATCCAACCGCAGAGGTTCCACAGGAGAAACAATTCGACCAATCTTGAAGAAGCCATGAGCGTACGGTTGGAGCGAGAAGAGGAAACAGACTGGAGGTTGCATGCTCAATGAAGATGATGGACTTCCATATATAAAGCTCGGGACTTATTGGAAGTTTACCTGGAAATATGACTCTGAGAGATGGGTGATCAAATTTTGACTCTTGAATTGTCAACGGTCCATTGTTTTCAAATCAGAATCAGGTGCATGTCAGCTATAGATCCATAAAAGCGTACATGTTGGTTCGACTGAGGGGGCTTTTCGTGTGAAAATTGACTGACCAGGGGAGTCGGCACGTGTGTACAAAATTGAAGGTTAGATCCGTTAGGGAGGAAAACATAAGCCGCTTCCTGGGATTTGTGGGGGAGTTTGTCAAAATATGGTCAATTCAGGGTTGCTGTTAGGTCGAGTTGAAGAGCATGAACAACCCCTAAATCATCGTACAAGAAACGAAAAATGAAGAAAGGATTGGTCTGCATTAATTAGACAAAGAAACGGTATGTTATTTTACTTCTAAAGTGGAAACTTCACATTATAAAATTAAGAGACAGCATTAACCGTCCACATAGACAGCATCAGTTGACATGTGACATTGTAACATTGTTCTCATGGAATGGGAGGATGACTCTAGGGATGATGTAAACATTAGCTGCTTAGTGCCTTTTCGTAAGTGGGATTTGCATGGCTCTTGAAATGACACGAATTGTAGTTTTGATTGAACTTTTCTACGCCGCACTTATCTGACTATGTATTAGGCTACAAGGATGCTGAGAATGGCCTGAGGTTGTCAACTTGCTTTGTTCAACTTCATAATAAAAACTCAAACGTACTAATTCTTTGGGACCCTAATTTGGAGGAACACCTATTTTTGAATCAGAGAGAGAGAGAGAGAGAGAGAGAGAGAGAGAGAGAGAGAGAGAGAGTGGAGGTCCAACTGTTCAAGAGCCTAATTTGGTAGGATTGAGGGAGCAATTGATTGATTATGTATAGGCTCGTGTTGATTATTGTGAGGGTAACTGTTGCCCATTAAATTAGAAGTGTCGAGTAGTGGGGTTGGTAGCTTGCGAACTAAGGGATGGTGTCCTTCGTTACACAAATTGCATGTGACTGACTATATATATTTGCAGTTTGGTGGTCTTGGAGTGGCCCTTTTCGAAATAGATAATCTCATCATAATGAATCGGTGGTATTAGCTTTAATTTTTTCTACAAAATAGAAAATTTACTAAAGTTGTTGGGTGATCTTAGGCCTCACTCATCTCAAAAGCTAATTTAAAGAATAAGACTTTCCCTTACACTTCTTATACTTATAAACTGATCACCTGCCCCTTCTACAACCGATGTGGGATAACTCTAATAATTTCTCTCTCACATATCGAGCATAGGTCAAAGCTGCAGCAACTCTCTCTAAGTAATTGTTAGGTCCAAACTTGTTGATAACTTGGGCTCTGATACAGATTGATGAGTGATCTTGGATAGCTTTCACCTTAAAAGCTACCTCAAAGAGTGAGACTTTTCCTCATACTTATAAATTGACCACCTGCTCCGGAAAACCCCAACAAAAATCAACCTGCCACTATGAAAAGAACAAAGTTAGACACACTAATGACTTGTTTGGCAACATTTTTATATCTTAGTTTTTTTTTATTTTTGTTTCCAAGAACAGAAAACAAATAGATTTTTGTTTATATACAGCGGTTAATTTTTCTATTCCCCGGAATAAATAAGTGGTTAGGGAATAGTTTTGAAATAGAAACAAAAAGTAAAAAAAAATCTACTTTTTTGTTCCAGGAACAAAAATAGAAACAATGTCATTTTAGAGAAACAAGCTCAGCGTAATTTAAACCATAAACCCCTACACCATACACCCTAAACCCTATACCTTACACCATACACCCTAAATTCTAAATTCTAAACCTTACATCCTAAACCTTAAAATCGTAAGCCCTTCACCCCATGCCCTACACCCTACACTTTAAACCCTACACCCTATAACCTACACACTAAACCCCACCCCTACATCCTACTCCCTAAACCCAACACTCTACACTGTAAAGCTCAAAAGGTCTATGCACCTAATTGTTGTAATGCCAAATATTTACTTTCAACCTCATATTGTGAGTTATAAATCAGTGAAATTCTCTACTACCATTTCCAATCATCCATCTATGACTAACTATTATACTGGATTTTCTGAGGCCATCTTAGAATATCTTGATCGGTTAAGTCATTATAAAAGTCCATTTTTATCCAAACATGATTTATTAAGTCTCCATTGACATTTTATAATTAAATGAAAAAATTGGGAATGCAAATTTTTAGGGTCATACCAAATGCATTTATGTTCTTTTTCTACTCCGAGAATATAAATTTTATGCAGTTACTAAACGTGTTCTTTTACTCAAAAACTTGTCCAAAGAATATAAATAGAAAATACCATTTCTGAATAGAAATTGTTCCCGGAAATATAAATGTTACCATACACATCCTAAATTTCTTATCCTTATGACGAGAATTTGTTGATTATAATGTGGTGAGGTTATGATTATTAGATGTTCGGACAAGGGTCTCTCTCTTTTTTTCTTTTGACAAGTATTCAAAGTGTGTCGCGTCATCAAGAACGCAATATTCCATATGTGCGTTCCTACTCAATACATCAAGTGAGAAAACTTGTGCCCTCAAGTTTCCGGGGGCATCGCCACCTCTTTTTGCTGGAGGAAGAGATTGATCTGGGTTTTCCCAAGGAGATTCACCAATGTTTCTCCTTTGAAGTAGATAGAAGGTCTCTCAATCGAGAGCTGCAGAGCATTCCAAACATCAGACTCAATGGTCTTCGAAGAAACTTGCTAAGGTGCTGAGGTTATAGACAATACATGTTCTGTGTCTTATCTCACATGCAGAACAAAGCTGTGCAATCAGGTAAAAAATTTGCGGTAATTTTGAGACTGATGAATTGTTTTCATTGGTAATAGGATGTCCAGGATGATCCATGGTCGATGTTGTGCTATTTATATCGATTCTCGAAGATACAACTGCCCGCAACACATAGATCATACGTTACTCTTCAATTCTTCTAGCTACTGTTAATCTTCAGTGATCTCGGTTGATGTTGTATGACATTGCTTTTTATTTTGTTTTGAGTCTTTTCCACGTGAGGTGATCACATAATGAAGTAAACGGGTTATTAGTCAATAAGAACCCTCTTTGGTATACCGTTTACAATACCGTTTACATAGTTACAGAACAAATGCATTGACTCAGCTAAAAGAGGAAGAAGATCACTTTTGCACAGGGACATGGCTAAAAGAATGTGATGAATGACAATTTACATCAGCAAAAAGATGGACATAACTACACCAACTTCTGAACCACCTATTCCTAGTTACATGCCAATAATCCAATCAACTAATTCACTCATTTCCGTGATGGAAAAGGGAATAACAGAAGGTAATCCAAATCCATGCAGTGTATCAGAAGGGCTGACTGCTTAGCCATCCTTCGGAGTCGACGAAACTCGTGCCGGTCAACTGGTTGATCGTCGCCGCGTTCAGCTTCTTCTCCCAACTCACCCGGAGAGAAGTATCCGACCCGGGTCCGTAGCACCCGTATTCTGAAAAGCTCAATTGGGACCTGATCAAAGGTAAAAGAAAAGTCAACCTTCAATACTACTATTATTAATTTATTAGCCTTCGAAAAGGAACAAATCTTGAGATAAAACACCCTTTTTAGAGAATGGAAAGCTAGCTAGTTATTTCTTTGTTTCTAATCAATTAGAGGGTAATAGTAAACCTAAAAGTGAAACTAAAATAGGGACAAGGATAAATTCCAAACTGATGTCAACAACAAGGTCTCTTTATAGTAAAATAGGAAAAAGTACTAGTACAAGTACAAATATCTGTGCAAGTAATCTCGACAAAAATGGGGAACGAAAAAATTACTCGCTTTGGCCCACTGTGTCTATGAGTCTAAATTAAATTTCACTAAATTTTATGTGTCTTGGTTGATCTGGGGATGTTTGTTTTGGCTTATAAAAAGAAAAAAATCAATTTTTATTTTATTTTCCCGCCAAAGTCTAAAATATTATTTGAACTTTAAAAAGTTTATGTGTAAAGCTACTAGTCAACGTTAATATACATTGTTTGAAGCATTCAAGAATCATGATCAATATGCGCTTTAGGTAATTTTTCAAGATGGATCAACTAAAAGAGGATGGTGGATAGAGAACGCACTCTTGTCCGGCAAAATTCCATGCGTCCCAGCCTCGAGGATTCACGACGTCGGTGAAATTGGAGTGATAGAAGACGACTCTTGCGTAGGCTCTCCACGCCCTTCCCAACAAGGCCGAGCCGGAGCCAAACACATTGCACTCCTTGAACACGAACCCGCTTGCATCGTCTGGGTTGCTCCTTCCTTGCGCTGTGATGAATCCCGTCACTCCAGTCCCTAGGGCTCCTCCAAGCACTGATATTGCACAATTCTACAAAATGGAATGCATGACGATCAACAAATTATGAAAAACATTGCCAATATTCACCTATTTAAAAATCCTTTGGTGCTTTACGCTGAACAAAAGTCAAATTGTGAGAGCAACAAGATTTACCAAACGCTAAGAAGTTGAACAAATAGAAGTTACTCGAAATGTATATCACCCAACTTAATACAAGATGGCGGGATTGGCAAAAAGATGAAATCAAAGAATCTTGACAGAATTTCTTAATATACATTCACTGCAATATAGGGTTGCTTCTCAGAAAGTCAATTACCTCGTAAATGGACTGCCCACCACCGAAGATAAAATCGACGGCGCCTTGGACAGTGCAGCGCTTGAAATAATGTCGTCCTTGGTCGTCCCACAACGTATCTTGCAAACCATAGAAACCACACCTGTGGAACACATTCTTGTCCCCTGAAACCCTAGCCGCGACTGCTGGAACCCTAGGAATTTTCTTATTAACCGGATTGTTATAAGAATTCTGCGAACAAAGGTTAAAGAAGTAAGTTAGCATATAGTTCAATTTTTATTAAGTCAAGCAAATTATACGACCACCGCTGGATATGCGATACGTGTGACCACTCTATTGGAAAAACCGACTCTTAGGCTCTAGCGATACCCTGCTTATTTTAACTGAAAATCATTCTTTTCCAAGATCAGTAATTTGTTGGATTTTCTTACCCTGAAACTTATGCTTTTAGCGATGATGTTATTGGCCAGAGATGTGAAAGTCGGGCTCTGCACAATGTTCTCGTGGTCGTCCCACACGACCTCGGTTGTCTTCTTTGCTTGTCCTTTGAGGATGATGTATGGCTTGTCCTCCGGTATTTTCACCTTCTCCCTGCATTTCGACAATAGGCACTTCTCATCTCTTGTTCAACCTTTGTAAAGAACTTTCAATTTTTCTTCTTAATATCATTACAAATATTCAACGTTGCTACATTTAATGGGACAATCTTTATCAAAACATAAATTCTCAAGTTTCCTTGTTTTTTCCGTTGAATATTTGACACATGCAGAGAGAACATAAAAGAATTAAGGATTGCCCTTCCCCTTCTTTTCCAGTTTTAATCTTCGGTTTATTTCCAAAACTTGGAGCAGAAGTGAATTTAACGAAGTCTTAGTGAAGAAAGAGAAAGAAATTATTCGAAGGATACCTGTAAATCCCTTTCTTGATATAGATGCAAACCCAGTTACTATTATTCGAGGGAACGGAATCGATGGCAGACTGTATGGTGGTGAAGTTGCCGAGCCGCCCCGATGGGTCGACAAAGATTGTCCGGTAAGGCGCCACGTTCCCGCTAATCCGTCGGAGCCAATCACTATCATCGGCTAGTCCCTCCGTGAAGTTTGCATGCAGAATAAGAATAATCCAACCGCACAGGTTCCACAGGAGAAACAATTCGACCAATCTTGAAGAAGCCATGAGCGTACAGTTGGAGCGAGAAGAGGAAAAAGACAGACTTAATATCACCAACTGGGGATTGCATGCTCAATGAAGATTATGGACCCCCATATTTATAGCTCGGGATTTCTTGGAAGTTTGGCGGGAGATAGAACTCTGTGAGAGATGGGGGATGAAAGTTTGACTCTGGAATGGTCAACGGTCCATTGTGTTCAAATCAGAATCTGGTGCATGTCAACTACAAATCCATACAAGCCTATATGTTGGTTTGACTAAGGGGACTTTTCGTGTGAAAATTGGCTGACCAGGGGAGTCGGCATGTGTGTACAAAATTGAAGGTTGGATCAGTTAGGGAGGAAAACATAAGCTGCTTCGTGGGACGTGTGCGGGAGTTATTCAAAATAAGGTCAATTTAGGGCTGCTGTTAGGTCTAGTTGAAGACTATGAACAACCCCTAGGTCATGGGTCAAGAAACGAAAAATTAAGAGACAAGACATTCTAAGATGTCGCGAAAACTAACAGAATGATTGGTCTGCATTGATTAGATTAAGAAATGGTACGTTATTTTGCTTCTAAAGTGGAAACTTCACACTATAAAATTAAAAGACAGCATTAACCGTCCCCATAGACGGCATTAGTTGACATGTGACACTATTATAACCTTGTTCTCACGGAATGGGAGGATGACTCTTGGGATGACGTAAACATTAGCTGTTTAGTGCCTTTGTAAGTGGGATTTGCATGGCTCTTGAAATGACACAAATTGTAGTTATATGATTGAACTTTTCTATGCCGCACTTATCTGACTACATTTTAGGAGACAAGGATGCTGAGAATGGCTTGAGGTGGTGAACTTGCTTTGTTCAACTTCATTGTGAAAACTCAAGACATACTAATTCTTTGAGACCCTAACTTCTTAATCAAGGGCTTCCTTTGAATTTTTTATGTTTGGTGAAGAGGTAACATCACTAAAAAAAAGAAGGTTTTCGCTCCCGCGAGGATCTCTGCAGCTTCTTCCCATCCTGTAGGGCAGGCTTTATGGATGGGTTCCTTATTTTAATATGCACTGCTTGCACGCCTCGCATCCCCGTATCTCTGTCTTTCCAGGGAAAAGGAAATACCCATCTAGGAGTTTTGCATTTTGGTGATCTCGAAATCCGGACGAGAACTGAGATTAAACCTTTTAAGGACTTGCTTAGGTCCGTGAGACCCTAATTATCAGGAACACCTATTCTTGAATCAGAAAGAGAGAGAGAGAGAGAGTGGAGGTCGAATTGTGCATGTGCCTAATTTGGTAGGTCTGAGGGAGGAATGTGTAGGTTCGCGTTGATTGTTGCTTATTAAATTTGAAGTGAAGTATTGAGTGGACATCATATTTACAGTTTGGTGGGCAATATAAAGTAGCCCTTTTCGATATAACGAGACTTTGTTGATCATATAATATGGTGAGATTATAATTATTTGATGTCTTAAACAAGGGTTTCTCTCTTTCTAATGATTATCCGAAGTTTGTCATGGTATTTAGTGAATCGAGTTTACAAGAAGCTTTGGCGTACTCATGTTTCGCTCGAAAATTACTCATTAAATCGTCGACTCCACAAACAGATGTGTCGAGCCTCGATTAATCAATTATCTTAACCAAACATCGTAGCCTTGTGTTTCGATATTGGCAGATGATTTCACACCAAGAAAGTAATAAGCCCTTTATGATTGGGTTCTGATATTGGAAAAATGAAATTATTGACCGAAACACAAATGTTTTCCAAAGAACAAGAGCAAAAGTTTGCTTAACTATAGGAAATGAACATCCGTTGACTAGCTCGACAACGTCCACCAAACTTATGCACTCCTAATGCTGTGCGGTCGATAAGCCTCGAAAGAAATTTGTACTCATTATAGTGTTAACAGTTTACTAAATACACTTGTAAAATCTAAAAAAGTTTTTAAGCTACTAGTTTATCTGAATGTTGGTAAAATTCTTGTATCGTTAGTAAACAAACTTGTAAAATTTGAAAGAAGTTAGTACTTCACCAATTTATTGGAATGTCAGTTTATTTGTTACAGCGTTGTTAGTTTAGTAATCACACTTGTAAAACTTAAAAAAGAATTGTAAAATGCTAAATTTAGATGTTGGTGATTTCGCTATAGTGCCAATAGTTTATTAACTACACTGGTGAAATTTAAAATTAGTTGGTAACTTAATCATTCGGATGTTGATAAATTCATTCTAGTGTTTATAATTTTGACTGGATACAATTAAAAAAGCTAAAAGAAGTTGATAATTCACTAATTCATTATAATACTGGTAACTTATTAACAGTTTACCTGACAAACAAGTTATGGGTCATACTCTTTTTTTATAAAGATTATTTGCAATTTACCTGCCACTTCAGAAATACCTCGGCCATGAAAAATTTTCAGCTGACTGGACCCTAGACTCATCTACAAAGCTTGTGATGCGGATTTCTTGGAACAATAAGATGAATTAACAGAAAGGGAGTGTGACTTACAGAAATGTAACTTTTGAAGGAAAGAATTGTTTTATCAATGTGCAAAGAATGAGCAGAGCATAGACAGTTGCAAAAGCAGAGATGTTATTGGTATTGTCTGCATAGGAAGAACTTCAAATAACAGGAGGAGGTGAAGCAGAATTACGTCCCAATGGCTATGAAAAACCACCAAATCTAGAGCTCCAGTGGAGTTGCTCCTGGAGAGATTTGCAATGACTGGAATCACATAATACCTGGCCACAAAATTCGACCGAGACGAGTTAGTACCGATAAAGAACAGTGGGAAGGAGAGGAAGATTATCAAACAACAGGGATTTCTCAATGACTCACTCGTGCGGGGCCAAAACCTGACAAGTGGTTGAAGTAGAGACTTGGCATGAGGATTGTCCCACTCCAGAGACTCCCACCTTTCCTCGTCATCCATCGAAATCACCTGAAGAGAAGGCGGAGCAGATGGGAGCTGATCATTGTTGTTGAGTCGGGGCAGATGCAACGGGATCCTCCTCAGCATTGGACAACGGTACACAACGATCTTCTCAATGGAGTCGCAGCTCAAAGTCCCATCAGATATGTTCTGTAGCAGTGGTAGATCCAGTAAATGCAAGGACTTCAACTTTGGGAGAGGGAATGGGAAGGAGGAACACGCGACATTTGGACTGGCCCCTCCATGTTCTCGTCCTCCACATATAATATCCTCCATCGCTTCACAGCTTTCAACTCTAATCCATTGGAGGTTAGGAAGGTGGAGGGACGATTCAAGCGTGAACAGCTTCCTGATGTTACAGCAGAATTGTATTTCCAGGAAGGAAAGATGGAGAAAGGCATTCAGTGGGATGCTCAAGGATGGCCCAGCTATTATTTCCTCCATTTTCTCGCAATTGTGTACTCTTATCTCTTTCAGATTTGGAAGGTGAGCCAGAAATTCAGATTCCAACAAGTTCTTCATCTTAGGACAACTAGATGCTGTAATCTTTTGAAGACTAGGGAAGGCACCGGGTAGTGCGACTGCAGTTATCCCCTCTAGTTCGTCACACCCATATAAACTAATCTCGCATAGATTTGGCAGGGAGAATTTTACCTCCAACATACCTCCAAATACCTTCTTCAGTTTTGGACACCCTCGGATAGATAATCGCTGAAGGCGGGGCAAGTGGAGAGGGGTAGAGCATGAATATGGAAACGATGTTGTGGAGTTGTGGATTAAAATTCCTTCATCTGGTCCTCCAGAGAGCACTCGTAAATTGTCCCATCTTATTATGTATAGCACCTCCAGGTCTTCAAGTGGGCCGATGTCGCACAAATTGGTCATACCACTGCAGTTTCTGACAATCAATTCCTGCACATTTTTGGGAAGCAGAACGCACCCATCGCTGCTTCGTCCTCGTGTTCCTGCGGTAATATGATTGCAACTGCCAACAACTACACGCCTTTCATGATTCACATCATTGTTGTCATCTTGTTCTTCTCCATTTACCTTGAGTAGGTAATCGTGGGGGCTATTTAGCCCAACGAAGCTTGCATAAGTGTTGAATGCTTCGATATTTGGAAAGGAACAATGAAGTGTTGCCAGCATCTTTAGTTCTGTCACGTCCTCTGCGTTTACTTCTTGAATTTTAAGGTGTTGTAGGTTTGCAAGGGTTGCTAACATTCCTTCTGGTAATGTCTCAATTTCTGTGTAGAGAAGATCAAGGTATTGCAGGTTCACCAGCATTTCCAAGCCCTCTGGCACTTCCTCGAGAACTTGACACCCAATCAGGTCCAACTTTCTTAGTGATATCAGCTTTCCCACATAAGGAATACGGCGTAATTCCGAACACCAGCTAAGCAACAACGCTGTCAAGTTCACCAAGTCCGAGAAGGAGTTTGGTAGTTTGGCGATTCCACATCCACTTAATTTTAGAACTTTTAGCCCATGAAGGTACATGAAGAAAGAGTCCGGTATCATCCTTAAGCTCTCATTATAGTTCAACAGCAAAGTCGTAAGCTTAGGACAATCAGGAGACATATCCGGTGGAATTTCTCTTAATTTATTCCCTGCCAAAGAAGCTTTCTCGAGACCACTTGTCCAGAATTCTCTGCCCGGTATGTCTACCAACTCCATCTTTGCCTTTACCATGTAAGCTGTGTTCATCACATGTAGTCCCATGTCCCTAATCAAAGGATGCATTTTTACTATCCTTTTTCCAAGAGTAGACTGCTTTTCCAATATGCAAGCATTTTCGAGTTTATTCAGTATGGCGTTGCACTGGTTGTGCAGCTTTTCTCTGCTCGCGATTCCACCAACCAAACCCTCGTCAATAAAACACTCTATCAGATCCTCTCTAGAGATAAATTCTCCTGAGCAATAAAGTACACAAACCAAGAAGCATTGTCGAACTTGATGATCTACCAAATTCAAGTAGCTGAGTTTCAGCCTCTCGAACATCTCCAGTTCCATTTTCGAGTCTCCTAACTTTTGGAGCACGTCTTGCCATTCATGCGCATTCTCCACTCCCCTCATGCTGGTTGCAATCTCAACAATGGCAAGGGGCAAGCCCTCACACTTGCCGACAACAAGCTTTGCAATTTGCTCGACTTCTGTTGGGAGATCTGGGTTAGTCATATTTGTGCGGGAAAACAAGGTCCAAGCTTCATCTGGCCATAGAGGTTTTATGTAGATATGCTTTTGGCAAAGCATCCTACGACACACATCTAATGATCGAGTTGTCAGTACCAACTTAATCCTACCGGCTCCAACCGAAATTCCCACATCCTCGAGCATAAAGTGCGTCAGCAAACCATCTAAAATTAGGACCGATGTCTTCTTCGTCGCCAGATGTCTGGACAACATGCTTGCCCTTTTCTTCACATTCTTCTCCTTCAAGAGGTCATCCAGATTTACCATATTCGCAATCTCAATTTGCAGGTCATAAACGCTCAAATTATGTGGCACAGTGACCCAGAATACATCCTTGAAGGCCGGATTCTCGAGCAGTCTATTATGGACGTGCATTGAGATGGCTGTCTTGCCAACTCCTCCCATCCCGTAAATGCCGATGATTGAAATCTCATCCTTCATCAAGAAGTCACAGATCTCATCCACCATTACCCAGCTCGTCTCTCCTACTAGCTTCGTGGTCATTAAGGGAGCTGTTCTGTCGCAAACTGCTCCTGCGGCAATCGTTGACCCGGACATGCTGCAGAAACTACCTCGGAATTGAATCTCTTCAACTTCTTTGATCAGTTGTTCCACTCGTGCCACATGCTGCAATGGGAGAGATCTTCCTTCTCTCATTGCCTGCACCACACTCCAGTATTCTCCTTTTATACTCTTCACTTTCTTCCACCGCGACTCCAACTCATCTATGTCTGCTTCTCTGCTGCAAATAAACTCTTCTAGCTTTCTCCTGAGAGTTCTCATATTCTGGCCAACAAGGCTGCAACTGCTGTGTCCTTGGCCCTCAAGGGGCACATCATGGGTTCTTCTCGCATCTACTATCGAGAGTTGTCCACAACCACAAGCAAGACCAACTTAATTAGAGATACAGAAGAACGAAACAGAAGAAAACTCTGCAATGATTATCATCGGTATCATGATTTTAGCAGTTAGCTTGCATTTTTTAGTTTTCTTTTTTGTAATTAATCATGGCATTTTCCTTATCGTCGGTGGCATCATGTGATCAAAGTATTCACATATTGTTTTTTTATCAATATCATGCTGTCAAAGTATAATTCAGAACAGAGCTAGAAGGAGAAGGATTGGCAATAGAATAAAAAGACAGCAACATAGGCCAAGGCAATAGAATCAGACTTTATCCCAACGTTGTAAAGCTGTAAGCCTCAGTGCCGGCTGTTGGTGTATTGAACCCCAGTGAACATGTAACAACTCCTTGTGAAGCTAGTGACTAAGGATGAAAGCAAAGAGGTTCTTTTGTCGACTTGGACCCAATGGGTTCACCTCCCACTTCTCTACTTCTGCTTGGACAGTGGATGGGAAGGACTTCTCAGAGGCCATTATGGTGTTTTCAAAATTATCATAATTGCTGAGAAAGGTGAATTCTACTATCATAACCTTGGTTCCCGATGTTGCAAATGCCTCCAAGAAGATGCATTATGGACGTAGTTTTGTAACATCAGTATAAGTGTACTACTAAAATCTTGGCAAATAGACTCAAAGCAGATTTTGCCCGGTTTTATCGGTTTTAACCTAGCTGTTTTTGTTGAAGCTAGATCTATCTCTGACAATGTGCTCCTGGCCCATGAGTTGGTCAAAAATTATTACGGAGCAAAGGTTTCTCCTGGAGGCATGATAAAGGATGATCTCAGGAAGGCCATTGACTCTGTCAGCTGGGATATCATAACTGTTGTTTTAAAAATAATTCAACCGCATGACCAGCTATTGTAGGGATTAAATCTTGCACATCATCTCCCTATCTTTCCATATCCGTTTGCATATGCTATGGAAGTTTTCTCGAAGATGTTAGATGCTGGAAACAGCCTAGGAAAGGATTAATTATCGCCCTTCTTGTCCTTGAATTCAGCTCACACACCTCAACTTTTCAGATGATCTCATCTTCTTTGAAGATGACAAGGAGTCTTTGACAGAGAACATGGCTTTATTTCATAAGTTTCAATCTGCATGTGATCTTCAACTCAACACTCTGAAGACTGAGATCTTCCTAGCAGGATATGATGAGGCTTATTCCCAACAGATAGTTAACAGGAGTGACAAGGGTTGCAAACCTCTGGTAGAATAAGTTTCCTCAACAACTGCTTGTACAGCTAAGCACTTGTCTCATTCAGGGAGGCAAACAATTTATCAGTGGAAACTTACTTATCCTTAAAAGAACTTGCTAAATATCCTAGTTTAATTTCTTGACAGAAATAGGTACATACTAAAACTTACATATGTCAATTATGGATAGATTGAGAATTGTTTTTGTGAATTAAAGTTTTAGCCATGTGGATAATGATTTCTCTTATGAGATTGAAATTGTCTTTTTCCAAAAATCACTAGTTACAAATACGAAAATACTTACTTTTCCAATAATGACGAAAAAGCTAGCTAGTATAATTAGAAATTACTTGACGTATTAATAACTTTTCATATGAGATGTTACTATGCACATGGATGAGCTTTTGACTTTTAATAGGTCAACAATTACATCTCCTCATTGAAATTTATTGATCACTTAAACAAAGCCACTAGTTACTAGCAAGAACAAATTAAGGGTGTTTATTTTAACCTGTAAATTTGAGAAACCCGGATCAATTTAGACCGACTCATTAGGATCTTTAGGACCGAGAGTTGACCTGGTCAGGCTACTTGGCCTATTTCTAATTTTTTCTTAAGGTTGGTCCGGACTATCAAGCTTAAGATGCTCGGGTCTAAGCTAGCATGAACAAGGTCGTAATAAACTTTGACAATAAAAGCATTGCAAAATTCATAACATAAAACGTAAAATTAGTCACTTTAAGGAAATTATCAAAAAATTCCCTAATAAAGCCATATAACATGTTGAAATTAAAAGGGAAAATGACATTAATCCTAAACATTTTTGCACGAAGTTCAATCAAGTTTCAAAAGTTTTAAAAAGTGCAAACAAACACTAAACACTTTGAAATCCGTGCAATTGAGTCCTATATTCGTTGGCAGAGACATCTAGTAGCTTGGACCATTTTGATTTTCTTGATATATCAAGCATTATTTTGATCACAATTAAACAAGAAAGTATGTGGGTTTTGTCAATCGCAGAGTATCTAACTTGATTAGCAACATTAATTGGACTTAAAACTCAACTTTTTGCAAAATCAAGTGAAATCCAATTTAGGTATCTTAATAAAAATTCGATTTTTTTATTAATTTCACATGAATTTAAATTTTATTTTCAATTGATTATCGCGAGCAATTCGCATACAACCAATGATGATAAAAGCTTAATCTCTTCTACATGATTATGGTCGAAGCCGTGCTTAATTTGATGAGCAGTTCAAAATTCCGGCAGTATCTAAATGTCACTAGTAGTAAGACTAAAACTTGATAGCATGAATATCCAAATACTTAGGACTTTATTGCACCTTTTGAAACGTTTAGAACTTGATTGCTCTTTGTATAATATGTTTAGAATTTTTGTGTAATTCTCTAATCTATAATTAGCGTCAAATTAGTCGAAGCATTAAAAAGCCAAGATTAATGCAACTCCACTACTCTAGTCAGAAAAAATTTTGCAGCAACATTTTAATATAGGTAAGAATATATATAGCATAGAAAATTTACTCTGTAGCTGCGTAGCCTGTGGAAACTCCAAACTGGTGGCACCTAATTCAGCTTCTCCTGAGAAGCCCTGATGGCTGATAGGATTGTCGTAGCAGTGCGTCTGAAGGGGGAAATCTGCATATGATGGTCCTGCGCCGAGCGAAACAGTCCGCATTCGTCCAGCCGATTGTCGAGAATCAGGGCACAGCGGCATGTCATGGTTGCATGTGTGTCTAGATGGGATTTGTGGTATGATGCTGGGACTAATCGCATTTCCTTCCATTGATTCCGCGGGCGACTCGCTATCCCTGGTGCTTATGTCGGGCAGTCTGGAAGCCTCAATGGCTCTCCGGAACTTCTCCCTCTCCCGGTCGTTGATACCGTGGCAAATATCGATGCCTTGTTTCCTTATCCCGGCCAAGTGAAACTTCATCCTGGTGACGGTTCCGCCATACTCATTGCTGCAGAGCCTACACCGCCATTTCTTGCCGCCGTCGGAGGGAATCATGTACTCCCAAATTGGATCTTTCTTTCTGCCCATATCTATGTGTGTACTTTTACACACAACATATAAATCCATCGACATAGAAGTACGAGACAAGGATCAACAAATCAATACAGACACAATGAGATCCAAAGTAGAGCAGAATCAACGACCATAAGCGCTAGGCATGCGGCCTGGCGGCATGGCAGGCAGGTCTAGTCTAGGGACGTCGGGCCCGTTCGACACAAGGGAAAGCCAAAAACAAAAACAAAAGCAAAAATATTGCAAATACAATTTTAAGTGGCATACCTCTACTCTAATATAAGGGTCATTGATGCTGTGCTCGCAATTCTCAGGATTGTGTGAAGTAGCTTTGGAACCAAGAGAATTCTTGCGATCCTGATTGAAATGAAGGTGGTGTTAAGCTAGTCGGGTTATGCTAAAGTTGATCGAAGTGTGTGAAATTGGAAAGACTTGGGGAATCTGGACTGTGTTTCGTTGGGGGAGTTTTCCAGGGTTTTAGTCAAAGAAAGAGCGGAGGTGGATCGGTTCTCCTCAATTGATCAGCTCACAAGCTTCGAGCAAGCTGAGTGTTTAGCTTTGACAGAAACCCTCAATTTCCTCTTGTCTCGGGCGGGTGATAAAATGACTTTGGAGTCAGACTGCTTTACCTTAGTCAACAACGTGAAAGCTTCACAGAAACTGCCCTGGGAACAGAGGGCCCTTATCTGCGAAGCTCGCGAGCTGCTTCTTTCTTTCTCTAATATTAAGCTCCAATATTGTAATAGAAATAGAAATAGAGTGGCGGACTGGGTAGCGAAGGCTTACAGAAAAAAAAAAGCTCTCTCAACACTGGTTGACTAGTCCTCCGCAGGTCCTCACTGAACTGCTTTGTTTTGAGACCCCGTTACTGGGTTCCTCTGTTTCTGGCTATCAATGAAAAGCCTTTAGTTCTGATAAAAAAAAAAAAAAGCTTAACTTTGGGAGACTTTCGGTAAATGGAATCGTACGGGTCATTAGAAAAAGACAGTGGCAGTGCTAATTTTCTTCTATTTCTTCTTTTTTCAAACGATAGTGGCTTACTTTTGTTAAAATGAAATGACAAACTTCCGCGTAGCAGCAATGGGTTTTATTTGTCCTGTCGGAAATTTGTGGACTTTACACGCCATACCCCATGTACTATCCGCGTCATATGCTTGTGCTGAACATTTTATTGACTTAAATCTTGTCCTCAGTGAAAGTGCCTTTGTGGGTGGACATTAAAATAGTTGGGAGTACTGCTTAGAAAGTCCGCAACGCTCATAACCGTTGATTGCACGAAGAGTTGATAAGCATGACATTTAAAGAGTTCATAGTGAATAAGCTGATATGAAGGTAGAGCTCGAAAGTGATAGCATATTAGTATGCGGGCTTATAGCAAGCACTTATCCAGCCTATGGCGCATATGGGCTGTTATGAGGATTGTAAAAAGAGTTTAGCCCAGTTTAAAAGTACTTCGTTGATCTATAGTCCGCGAGAAGCAAATCATGTGGCGGAATGGATCGCCAAAACATTTCGTAGAAATGCCCTTCCCTCTAATTAGATTACTAAACCCCCTAACCCCTTTGGGATCTTTTATGTTTCTATATTGAACATCTTTGTTTTGATTATGGCACTTAATGAATGAAGTACTTTTTCGACCCCAAAAAAAAAATAGTTCATAGTGAAGACACCTCCTTTGTCACTTGAATGTTTTCACTAATGCACAACGATGGATCGAGACGTCGATCGGAGATTGATGAGAACACTTCTAAAATCATCCAAATGGTCTATTAGCTCGAGATTGTCGCGATTCTCCCAGCAACGGAAAGCTTGTCGTGTCAATTTCCAAAAACATCGTTGGGTCAGATTTTCGACGTCATGGTTTCCCATGCTAAACGAGCTCCAATCAATATCTGTCAAACTAAAAGTGAAGTGAACGGGAAAAAGTGTCAGAAAAGTCATAAATCTATTACATTTATGCCAATTTAGTCGTAAACTTTTTATATTTGTGCCAATTCAGTCTTTTCGACTAATTTTGGCCAGATATTGCTGACGTGGACGCTGGTCAATTTATGTGGCACCATCGGCACTGACGTGGAAATTTTTTGATAATATTTTAATATTTTTTGAATTATTTTTTCTTTTATTCTTTGTTTCCTTCTCTCTTTTTTTTTTTCCTTTTTTCTATTAATTTGAAATATTGTCCACGTCAATGCTAGTGGTGCTAGCGGTGCCATGTAGTGTCACGGAGGCCAGCCGATGTTTACATCAGCGATATCTGGCCAAATTAGCCAGAATGACTGAATTGGTACAAAGACAAAGGTTTACGATTAAATTGGCACAAAAAAAAGTTTTATGACTAAATTGATATCAATACAATTGGTTTAGGACTCTTTTGACACTTTTCCTTAAAGTGAACTTAGCATGACGACTCAGCCTTAGTCCGGTTTAAGATCAAAATTGATTCAGAAGTTAGCCGGGCCTGGGTAGAGACCTAGCCTCTTTCGTCTTGTTCTTTTTTGTTCTTATTGCCTATTTTGAGTTAGACCTTAAGCAAATTTGGTCAAACCGTGAAAATATCAGGTGAAAAATGAGAATCTATAGGATCTTCAATTTAAGCAATGATCCATACTAGTGGGGTCTAATGATGCTTAATGTATATAGCGCCTCCAAACCAACAAAAACTATCTAGGTCTTTGTGGGCCGCGACATCCAGGCTTTTCTCATTTTACGCCTGACTTCTTTGATTGGTGGGGGTCCAATAACTTTAATTTAAAGCGAGGGAAACAGAATATATGATGTATGAATTACCCTCCTGTCTATATTTTACATAGATTTATCCAAAACATTAACCAAATGTCAAGCTTTGTTAAAGTATATTCTTGGAAAGAATATAAGAAAGTTGGTAATACTCGATGTCATGTGATTTGCATAAAATGATGTCATAAATTAATGACCGTTGGTCTAACCATACATATCTCAATCCATTCAACTCTTCTTGACTCTCACAAATAAAAGAAAGAAAACTCTGCCTTGCTAACTTAAAATCAGTATTAAAATCAGTATATTCTTTATTTTTTTCTCCTTTTATAAATTATAAAACTAAAACTGTACAAATCAATTTCACATGAAAATTGCATGAATTGGAGGAAGCCTTATGTCATTTATAGCTATTAAATATGTCTCGAGTTGAGCCCGTGAATAAAACCCGATCCAAAATTATAGTACGATAAGTCTGGCATATATTTGTTTCGGTTAACTGAACTTGCCTCAAAAAGGAAAGTCCATAGTGGATTTGGAGAAGTCTGAATTATTTGTTAGAAGAAATAAAGAAAACAACTGAAAAGAGGAAAGTCCAGTTGGGTTGTTTCCTTCTCCAATTCGATGCTGACTTCTTCGACTGATTCAAATATTCACTTCTTCTTGGCGGTGGCTTATATATAAGTTCTCAAGGGTTCGCGCTCTATGTGCAATTGTTAATGCGTGCAGAGTGGGTCATTATGAATTTCACGTGCCAGTGAAAGTTTTTGTTTGTATACACCAAGAATTTAAGTGTTAAAGCCAATTGATCTTGTGGTAAGATTTGTTGATTTCTTTGTGAGATTGAAAGATTATTTTGTAAGGAATTGTGGAGGTAAATATTATGTGAATTATTGGGTGTAATTGAGGGCTGAAAAACACATAAAGTGTTGGAGTGACTCGATTGTGATTGTAATTTCTACTGTATCGCTTAATACGACAATCCAAATGCAAGAGAATATTACCGATTTACAACAAACACATCATAACTTCATCGAAGCAGGTTCCAATCGCTCTAGAACCTCAATAAAGAGTTATGTACACCTACTTCATTCAGATAACATTAAACACATTCTCAACTCCTCCATGATCATTTCCAAAGATTAATTTTGCCTACCTTGGGATCATCGCCACCACTCACCAGCCACCACACATATACAACCAAAGCATTGAGTATAAAGAATACAAATATGGAAGGGAAACGAGGCAGAGGGAAAACAGTAGAACCAAGTACACAAACACGAACTTGATTACTCGATTCTGTACAAGTAGACTTGCTAGTTTGTTCTTTTGTTGAGTTTGAGATGATTTGCTTTAGTGAATGTTGACACCTAAATTTTGCTAAGTCATTTAGGGTTTAATTGCATAAAAAATTAGGGATTGATTTTTAACCCCTAAACAAAAATATTTTCATTAAATTACATGGCATATAGGTATTAGATGTATTTGCACTAATAGGGCCTATTAGAATATATTTTTATTTTTTACTATTCTAAAAAAGAATTAAAAAATTAATTAATTAATTAAAAATTTCAAGAAATTTATTGTTAAAAAAAAGAGAGGGGGAATCGGGTCGGTTTGACCCGGCCTGACCGGGTCCGGCCCATCCTCCTTTTTATTTTCCCCTTTTCTCCACCTGGACCGGCCCATTCCTCTGCC